GTAATGCCACGAGATACTAGTAGCTTCTTGCTCCTAGTAGCGATGCCCTTGTTTCCTAGTAATTAGCGTCCTTCCTAGTAGTAGTGCTGTGGCAGTATGTAAGCTGCACCCTCCAGCCCTCCATGTTTCTATGCTTCAAGCTCGCGAGTCCAGGGCCAAACTACATCAAGCAGTGAAGCCGTGACGCGTGTTGGCCCTGAAGCTTCGAGAAAGCACCTACCTAACAGCATAGGAAACAGGAAGGGTTGAACTTTTAAACCACATAGTGTTTCCTGCTTGTTGATGCCGGTGATGATTTCGTACTGTTGGCTGTTAGGGCTCGAAGGTTCAAGCGAAACACAGCAAAGGAAGGAAGTCCAGCTCAATCTTAAAAGCTGGAGATGCGCAAAGGGATGCGCTAAGTGTGTAAAGTTGCAAAGGTAGCGCCAAGCTCTCAGTCAAGCGAGGCTGCTGGTGTTGCAATAGATTGCAACTCAAAAATTCTTATACAAGCATCACTAGGCATCAAGTCACAAGTCACAAGCTTTTGGCTTGCTGACGGCCAGCTGCTTTTTGCAAAGGGGACATGTGATGTTCTTGGTGAGGAGCCACTGTGTCACGCATCGCTTGTGAAAGTGGTGTCCACAACTTAGCTCGACTACTTCGAGGCTTTCATCCATCTCGTCCAAGCAAATGGAGCATTGGCCGTGTCCACAACTTAGCTTGACTACTTCGAGGCTTTCATCCATCTCGTCCAAGCAAATGGAGCATTGGCCTGGGCTGCATTGGCCATCTGTCACCTTGACCCCTTCGAGAAGTAGAGCCACTGCATTCTTGGCCAAGATCATCTCCCTCTCTCTGCGAATCACTGCCCAATAGCTCGCTCTCTGCGAACGTGTCAACAAAGAAGAGAGGCTCATCCTCGAGCGCGTTGGTCCCGTGAGCCCGCCAAGCACATGACGAGCTCGCAGGCCGACAACGACGGCAAACGTTTTTGGCATCCAAACAGGGTGATCGGGAGGGGCTGATGGCCACATACGGCATACAAGCTATCCTCGGACTCAAGGACCCCATGGCTCTGGAAAGAAACACATAGAATACCCAGATATTATGCATGTTGATCCCATTCATGTACCCCAGAAATCCCTCAAAGTGAAGCTCTTCACCCGACCGACGCGTTCTGTGAGCTCATCGGGGGCAAGACCCGACCTCGAAACCAGTGGTTCAAGAAGGAAGCACACGAAAACAGTCCGGCCATGGCTGACTCTCTGACTCTCCACCCACGCAACAGCGCAGTGCATCTGAACAGCGAGGGGCAGTGTGTGCACTCAAACAAAGCAACTGGCGCCCGGAAAGGAGTCGAGACCAAAGGTGCGATGAAACCAGTTTGCGTGCAGAGTACCAAACAAGTACAGCCCAGTAGACAAGCGGAGTCCCCATTCTTCTGAAAGAACCAATCTTTCCTGTAATCTTACCATCCAAACTCTTCTCGTCCCGTGCTGGATGCTTCAGACCTTGACGCAAAAACATATACGTGCATATTAAGATTATGACATCATATGCCCCTAAGGTGTCCAAAATCAAAGATTATTTTTTTTACAGGTTTTGATATGGGTTTTGATTCAGTTGGGCGATATGATTTTTGGATGTGATACAAATTTCAATACAGATTTCAATACAAATTTCAATACAAAATTGTATCGCAAAAAGGAAACCTACCAAAATCCATATCCAAATCCATATCCAAAATTGTATCATCCCATAGAACCATATCACCTTTTCATATCATAAACCATATCAAAACCATAAAAAAAAATATTTTCAAAACCATTTAACCTTAGGCTTTTGGATATCCTAATATTAAGATGTACCATTATATAATATGATATACCAAAATCATCCAACATCCATTTCGGATGAACCCAAGCCCCAGCCCCAGCGGCCTCTTTCTGCCCCCAGCGGCCTGCAAGTACTGAAACGCCTCCGTTGCCAGCTCATGTCTGTGCTGATTCTTGTCAGGGTGCCACCTAAGCTGCGGCCCAAGCGATCGCGACAACCAAGATACACACCCGTTAGATCCCGTTAGCACCTCTACACAGGTGGCTTTTTTCATGTACAAGGCCTGAAACTGCATCGAATTGAAAGGTCTCGTAGTTGAAGCTCGGGTGGCTTTCCATTCTCTTGCACAAACCTAGTCGACCAGTGTTATTCATCGCGGCTCGACCAGCAGGAAAAGACACAAAGCCCAGTACTCGATTCAGGGTCGTCCTTGCGCAAGCAACTTATCTCTGTGAAGTGTTCTCAAGGATCCCTTCTCTGCCATGAACTCGGATATAAGTCGGCTGGACTTCACTCTTCATTCGTTTGAACCAGCTGGAGCCCCGGTTTCATGAGTCTTTCTTGGTTACGGTTTGCTGAAGCACGAGGCCGGGCACTTCTAATACCCTAAATCCTGTTGGTCATTGTTGGTCCATGTCCACACAATTGACCCGAGTCTCCTCTCGAGTGTGGTAGGCCTTTGGACTCTGGACCTTTGGAAGCTTCTCTCTTGATCAGTCCACAGGCCAGGTTTCGACGATCCGTCCGAGGCACTCGAACAGGAGCCGTCGGATCGCCTTCCGTCGCGCCGTTGGCTTCCTGGAGTGGGCGGCTGGGGAACTGGATTGCACGAACCAGTGGCGGTTCATCAAGTCTGTGGCGCACCACTGGTGATGGAAGGGATCCTAAATCTTGATTCCAATATCTATATTTTTTTATATATTTTTCATATATATATATAATCATATATATAATTATATATATATATCGAAGGGAGCAAGGCTCGGTGGACCTGCGCAAGCTCCAAAAGCGGTTGTGCACCAAACGAGGCCGAAACATGGCCGGACAGGTAGTTTCAATCGTTTTGACCGGACCAGGTGAAACACGGTGAACCCCCGAGTCTTCCTTTCTGCAAGTCCTGGCACGAAAACCGCCAAAACCCCTCCCAACAGGATCTGCGCCAACTGTCTCGCGCCCATCGGTCATGCGTTGGATCTGCGCCAGCTCTGCATCCAACTCTTCCAGCTGCTCCTTAAGGCCGAGCGATGGGGTCCTGCAATCCAGTGGCTGCGCTCAGAAAATTCAGAGCTGGCCAAAATGAGGTTGAAGTAAAATTGCGTTGGAACAGTTCATGTTGGAACAATGGTCTAGAATGCACTAGACTCACTATCCACTGAGCCACAATGAGTACAGAAGTATGATGCTGTATGATGTTTCTAAGTCAGTGGCCCTGATACCCATAAGCAAGCCTAGCCGCCCCAGTACTCAGCACTGGTTCATTCTCTATACGTATCTGTATCACTCTATATCGTTTCAATAAGATTGAGCACGGGACCACGGAAAAACCGCCTTCTTCTGCGCTCCCTCCAAAAACCCGTCCTCCACGCGAGCTCGGCATCACTGACCGCTCGCAAGGGCTTCAAACCAAACAAGTTCACCGACACCTGGACGAGTCGCAGCGTCGCGACGCGGAGCAGCGGAGCTTGCGTGAACGGAGCATGTCGGGCATCGCGACGGACGGAGCGGACGCTACGAACGGGGCTCCTGGCCATACTACTAGTAACAAGAAGCTATTAGAAACAAGGATTAGTATTAAAATAGAATCCACAGACTAATTCTAAATAGAATCCAATTTAAAATAGAATTTATATACTTGAAATAGAATTTAAATAGAATCCACAGACTGTGCGGTGGATGGAAGGTGTTCATCTCGGTGTGGTGGGGGGTTTCTCTTGCGTGACTGGTCTCCAAACCAGGTCTCGACATGCAACATCTTATATACCCAAAATGAATCCAAAACATCACGCCGCTAAACTAAAATGACTCATTATACTGTATAACCTCCTCAGACAAACATCACCAAACAAAAACAACGTGATCCGATGGCATGATCCATCTTCATCTTCATTTGGAGGGCGGCATCTCCGGGTGCGATCCGTCTTCCCTGTTGGAACCCCCATCACCGCTTCCCGTCTCGCCTTGCTCCGTAGGGGCTCCCCCATCAATTCCAGCGCCCTGAACAGCACTGGCATGGGGCACGCCCGTGCTCCGCAGTCATCCAGCGCGGCCACACGAAGCAGCGCCAGGAGCTCAGGGGGAGCCTGATCTGATGGAAGAAGAGGGCGAACATTCTGAACCGGGACCAGTGAAGAGACGGAAAAAACAAGTCTCCCATGTGCAGCTCCCACCTGAAGTAGTCCAAGGGGTGTGGACAGAATGAACTTGGCCCCTTAAGTTTACTCTTGGCGAAACGCCCGATTATTTAATACGGGATGAGAAGATAGGAGGTGAGAGGAGTATTGATCCATTTGGGTGACTCATGACAACAGTGTCCAAAGAAATTCAATCTAGCTAGGCAGCCACGACTAGGCCCAAGCCATACCGATGACACGCGCTTCCTGAAGCGCAAAACAAATCCATGGCATTCACAACGGCTATTGTATTAAATCATACAGTAATTGTGAGTTTCACTTTGGGCAAGGCCGATCTCGTCTTGAAAATATTTGCGGGATCTTGTTTAGAGGACAGCTTCATCACAAAAATATGAATACATATGAATACAAGGGGATCTCAGCTACAGGACTTCTTGACAACCATCTTTGCTGTACAACATCCTTGGCCTTCAGAATCCGAACCAAGCGCATCCAAGCGCACTCCAACACTTCCGACCAAAGCCTGGAACACTTTCCCAGCACTTGGCGCCTTCTTTGGAACCAGTCTGCGGCAAAGCGCCAAGGCAGTGGTGCCATCTTTGTCCTGAAGATGAGGCTGCACAAAGAGCGTTACCAACCCCTCCATGCTGAAAAAGGATCCACTCTAGAAATCCTCTGGGAAATCCTTCACTTCGGATCTAGGGAAGATTGATGAGAAAGAAGAAGGCTGCTCCATCTTGGATCTCCACCACTCTCCTCGTGCCCGATGTTAATTGGTAAATCGGCAACTCTTTTGCCAGAAACAACGTGTTCCATGATGTTCCATGTGTCCTCCTACAAACTGGGTTGATGCGGTGCTTTACAAGTACCAACCACGATCTGTCAGTGGTGGCCGTGTTCGGAAGGAATTTTACCCAACAAAAAAAAACGTTTTCAGCCAACGATGTGACAGTGGTTCCCAAATAAGATCGTTTCACGGTGTTCAAAACGACGCTCGCCCTGTTTCACGCGCTGGGGCTCGTCGTTCGTCGCAGCTTGGTTGGAATGCTGATGGATTGGGTCGTCAAAGCACATGCTTGCGAGCCAGGGGGGGCAGAGGAGCTCCACATTTCTTTGGCCGTTCTTCCCCCCCTTTGCTTTCGCAAGACGACCCAGTTTGTGAAACGGTTGTTACATAGTTAGCTTGAAGTTTGGATAGGACACGTCACGACAATACTAGTTTTGCTAATGTAGAACCTTTGACTATATAAAGCAACCCCCCATGTGGATTGTAAGACCACTTAAACAAATGATTTCATATGGTACATGTTGTTATATATATATATAACTATCTGTATAATTAGTGATATATATATATATGTTGTACATTGCCTCGTTACACTAACAGTGAGCACAAACAAAACCACAAAAAAACGCACAACAGAGAATTCAAAAATCATTGTTATTTTGAATCTGGAAGCTGATCCAAGCACAAATTCCCAAACTCCCCTGACAGAACCAAGGCATTTTTTCTAGGAAGCTGGATTCAGTGTCTTTGTTCACTGGGCATCCTCAGCCAGCCAGTCTCACACACACAGTGTCACATATAGAGGTTTTCATTTTCGGTTCTTCAACACCTTGATTGGCTGGGCTTCTATGGATGTCGCTGGCTGGCTGGGCTGCCTGGCTGGGCTGGCTGCCTGGAGGACGGCCCTGCCTTACAAAAGTAAATGCAAACGGGTGCCCATAGCCCACCAGAAAAAGCACAACTGCCAGGTCATTTTGCCCAGGCAAAACAACCTGAACCCGCAGTTGTGGTTTTTTTTGTGCTTTTTGTTGTGCTTTTTTTTGTGCTATGTTGTCCTCGGAGTTGTGTTTTTTTTTGTGCTTTTGGTTGTGTTTTTTTGTGCTATGTTGTCCTCGGAGTTGTGGGTTTTCTTGTGCTTTTTTTGTGCTATGTTGTCCTCGGAGTTGTGGTTCTTTTTTGTGTTTTCGGTTGTGCGTTTTTTTATGCTATGTTGTCCTCGGAGTTGTGGGTTTTCTTGTGCTTTTTTTTGTGATATGTTGTCCTCGGAGTTTGAAAAACTTGTGGCAGACATCCGGAGCAAAAAGTCCACAACTGCAGGTGCAGTTTTTGGCCAGTGGCAGCCTCCCTCCAGTCGAACAGCAAAACTGCAGTTCCACTCCTGGCTGTGAAGCAAAAATCTGTCTGCAGCAACAGGAAAACCTGCAGCTTCACATCTGGCTGCAGAGCAAAAACCTGTCTGCAGCAAAAGGAAGCCCTGCAGATTCACATCTGGCTGCAAAGCGAAAGCCTCCCACCGCTGCAGAAGGGCCTGCTGCTGGCGGTGATGTGGTTCTCCTTTTGCAATGAAGCTGCGGCTGCGCTTCTGTTCTGAGTTTTGCTCAGCCACATTTTTCCAGTAGTTTTTTTTTTACCTTGTAGCACCCCTTGTTTTGGAATGGCCTTGCTCATGTGGCTGGGAATGCACCTGTGAATTTGCCTTGGGTTTGGACCCTGGCTTCTGCTCTGCTTTTGGTTGTGCTTTTTTTGTGGGTGTTTAAGTTTAAGTCTGTTTTTTGGCTGTTAGTGGGGGGGGGGCAGTGTCCAATAAATATGTATAATCTACTTTAGAAAGATCTCTGATATTTCAACCTCCCCCAAAGGGCCGTTACTCGGACCTCTCGAGGCCCTTTCAAGGTGCTTGCAAACACAATGGCGTCCCTCCGCCATTCCACAAAGTTCACGGTCTTGTTCTCACAACGGAATCTTCTGATGTCTTTTGATGTCCTTTCTCTTCGATCACTCTGCCCTTCTTCCTGGCCTGTTCCTGGGAGCTGTGGGGCACCGATCTCAACCAGGGTGCACCCTTAGAAAAAGGACCCATCCAACACAGCATGTCATCACAACATGTTGAGCTCCCGGATGTTTGAAGAAGGACAGCTGCAAAGCGAACTGTGTTGCGCTTGCTGCGCTCCGCGGCCGGGCCACACACATCCGCAATTTTACGCCCCCCGTCGCGCGATGGTGGCCAAGCGGCGCGGGCACGGGGATCCCCATGGGCCAAAAGGAGTTCGGCCGCGATCTGGAGAATGTTCGCCAGTCCACAGCGTGAGCGTTGTTCACCTACGACGGCCGGCCGGAGCGTTCCCCCTTTTAGTGCTCGACTCAATGAGCTGAATGAGTGCCCTGCTTACTATGTAATTCTAGCATACTAGTAATAACACATGCCTTCTGCCAGAACAGAATTCCCCAAAGTGGGACTACACACACACACACCCGAGCAATGCTTGCCGCTGCTGCTGCTGCTGCTGCTGCTGCTGCAGTCGCGCCTGCGACGTGGCACAGGTCGTGCAGTGGCCGGCGGCCGTGGGCGTCCCACGTGTTGGCGTCGGCGTCCGACAGAACGCCCTGGAGCTTCCTGTTGAGCCAGGGACAGGTGTGAGCACAACAGAGGACAAAACACTTTACCGCCGTTACTGTAAATTTATATGTTCTCTTCTTGACTTGTAGGTTGCCCACCAGGTTTTGCACCGTGCCCCTAACAGACCCACTCTTGATCCAACAGATTTGAGTGCTGGTCCTGATCCAGCTGGAGTGTTCGAGCCAAGAACCAGACACCGCAAAGCAAACCTGAAAACCTTTCTCTAGCTTTGGAGGTGCTGAGTCCATCACCTGAAATTCACTTCTGGGTCACCAAACTTTGGGCTACGGGTTTGGCAAACCTCCACGGTCCCGCTAATGGCGCACCCAAAGAAAGCAGCAACGAAAAGGGAAGGAAGCAACCATCTGGACCCGTGAAGTGCAGAAAAGGACCGTCCCTCAAATACAAAGTGTCAGAATGTGTTAGCTGGCTGATGCTGGCTGACTTCATCCTGCGCATGCCTCCCCAAATGTGGGGATGTTAGCAGTGCACCTGAGCTCGAAAAGCTCTGCGAACACCACCCCCCCCCGTCGGAATCGCAGCACCGAAGCTGGCACCGCCTCAGGTCGAGACGTTGCACCGCCAGGCGCAACACTTGGTTGGGCTGCCGCCCTTGATCTGGCTGTTGAGCCCTGCAGTCTGACAGAATGAGACACCGGAGGCTCCGGTGTGATTTTACGTGATGATGTTTTCCGAGCGACCTCCCAGTGGTGAACATCACTTCGTGGAACAGTTTAAGTATGTTTAAGTAGAGGTTTAGTTATCTTTAGTTTGTGGGAATCTGTCAATGACCTTCTTCGAGGCCACTAGTCCTTGGTGACAATAAGTTTGAGCTGTCTTTGACACTGTCACAAGCGAGATGGGCAGCTGGGCATGAACAAACTACCAAACCTGGCTGTTCAAGAACCCCGTTCAGTCATGGCAGTGTAACCAATATCGGAAGAGAGCCCTCGAACGCACCAGCACTACCACTGTCCGTTCAGCTTGCCTTGGGCAGTCCGGGAAGAAGCCGTTCACCACCTGGTCAAGGCCCACCAAAGGGACCTGTTTCTGTTTAGTATCGCTATGCATCACGTGACGTATGGCTCTACAAGGGGATGATGTCGGAAAACAACATGTGGACAACCAACTGGTTCACTCCTCCACTAAGAAGAAGAGACACTCCCGGAATTGGTTTAAGGGAAAATCTACAGGAAAACCTGCAAATTCTCCCTGAAACATCCTTAAACCATCTTAAACCAATTCATTGAGATGCTTGGATCCTTCAACTGGCTACAGCTCACTTCTAAACAGAAAACCACGCTGAACACACACGAAGGAAAAAGTGTGAGGATTGGTGGATATCACCATGAATTCTAGAAAACCTAAATTCACCGCCAGCGGGCCGTGTTGCCTTTCTTGGCCCTAGGCCCTAGGATGAATCGTTGCTCGCTGCATTCCTGCAGTGGGAAGCCCCAGTCTCCTTGTCCCAGCCATGTGCTCACCCAAATGCTCGAAGCCTTTGGAATGGACCCGGAACAATCCACCATGACACTCGACACGCCGGCAGCATGCTCCACGTTCCGGCCCGGAAACCGGTGGCTGACAGTGACGAAGACATGCAACCAACACATCACATAGACTCTTGATGAATAGAACACCCTTTTGGATTGTCAGAGCATGGGACCGGGAAGACTCCGCATGACTCATATGTGGAGGGTATTCATCAAGAGTCTACATTAGCCGGCTCTGCTGAGTGTAATATAGTATATATATATATATATTTATTAGTGTATGAATTATATATGTATGTAAGAGTCTACATTATTTTGACCCTTTGAGCAGATCGTTGCTGGACATGCTGTCCGAGTCAATATTTTTCATGAAGTGTTCAAAACATTGCTCATCAAGGAAATCATCAAGGAAAATATACTCATCCAATGGTCAAGGGCCCCTTTCCACTTCCATGTTGGTGAGTCAGAGAGTAGATGTACTATCAACTTTCTGGATGCTGTTGTACTGAATGTTCCCGCCAATGTCCATCTTCCCGAATCCCACGCCCCTACCCCTGCCTCCTGCTCACGCTCGGTGGGCCTTTCCAGCCAGGTTCGAATACAAGTCTGGCTCTTGTTGGTGTAGGGGTCCTGACATCGGTGACGGACCCTACCATCACCGGCCGCCAGCTGTGCCACGACCGCGAGCGACGCCGGCGTCGCTCGTGCAGTGGAACAAACGGGGGCCGAGCAGCGAAAGCAGAGATCATTCTACGGGGGCCAGCTGCATTGAAGGCTGCGTTGAGGCCGAAAAAAGGTGGTCGCAGCAGTTGTTTTCGTGAAACGTCCCTCAACGTGTACAAGGAGTCCTTCTTTTCGGAGTCCTCTTGCAGTGGCATTGACCAGTAATTACATGCCCCGGACACATCCCTCAAGGCACCTGGCTCAGGTAGTCTCTCTGTTTTGTCCCAGTTTGTAAGTTGGTTAGCGCGATTAATATAACAAAACAAACACCAAGTGCACCTACCAAAACATGCAGCATGAAGCAACCAAAAACATCATTTGGTGGCAACTTTCACCAAGAGCTTTGCTTTTCCAAGCACCATGTTGGTGCCGTAGAATTCTTGAGCAACTCCACACGTCTTTCTATACCTGAAACTGGTGAAACTGCTATCCGCCACCGTGTTTGCTACATACACTTCATTGTTGCCGTCTTACGCCAGCAATGGTGTGCGGAATAGCTGCTGCTGCAATGTCCCAAATCGGTGCAAAACCGCCGTCTGTGACAGTGGGATGGCCAAGCACGTGGGTGCCCAAAGAAAATGTGACGAGAAGAATGGCAAGTGCTTGAGATGGCATTCTGATGTAAATATATAACATATATATATATCATGGATACTCATGGAGTATCCATTGAAATGATTGAATAATATTGAAGATGGTTGAGTAATCCAAGTCCTTATGCCAAGATCCTGACTGAACCATCTGCCCCAACTGACTGACTGAGCAATCAGCTGTGCTTCGATCTTCTGCTTCTCCAAATTCCAGATTGTGCAGGGTGTATCCACCGATGGAGTCCCCGGCTTGTGGTGGCTCAGGCCATTCCAATCTACACAAGGGAAGTCTAAGAAGGCAAGTTTGTTGATTCCTTCTGTGCTCTGGTGTTTGCCCTATTTGTGCGATACACAGGCACATTTCCCTTGCGCATCTTCAACCCTCCAACGTTTAGTCACTGGAGGAGACCAGCAAATTGCCGCCATCTCAACCATTGTCTGGTCACGGAAACTTTAGAGTTACAGAGCACGCATTCGAAGTGGCCCTCGTTGAGCTCAAGAATCTCGAATGAAACTCCGTGTCTCCTCAATCAAGGTTCCCACGGCAAACCTGAAGCCAACCTCAGGCCTGGACATGCGGCATGTCACATGACTGGACCAAGCTAAAGCTTCTAAAGAGCAGGTTGGCCATATGGTGTCATAGTCATGCCAGCCTCTATAGTCTAAGGCTTCAGCTATCTTGAGCTACTAGCTCCGAAGGCAATGGCATCTATAAAGGTACTAGCTGTCTCTCGCAGAGACTAGCTGCCATGCTGAGAATTGAAACTGCCAAAATGGTGCTGGAAGAAATGTGCCACCCTTTGAGCCGAAATGTCTTGGACGATCTGACGATTAGTGACGAGATCGATCCGCACCGATCGACATGTGACGAGATCGATCCGCGAAACCGTGGTGGCTCCTTGAAGGGTGCGATCATCTCAAGCAGCTCGCCCGTGGTGACCGCAGGGCAATCCAACAGAAGCCCTGCGTGATCGTAAACGTTGAAGCGCGAGGCCTCACGAAGCGGACGCCAGGGCGGACGCCACGGGTCGCCACGTGGGTCGCCACCGTGTGGAGCGGCCATGGCTGGGGGGGAACTCCACAGAATCGGGTGGAAATTGGTGGAAATCGATGGATGATCTGTCTCTGAACAGCATGGCGAATCGTTCCTTCCAACCAAATGGGTGGGATATGGTGGGGAAATGCATAAAACTTGAGTCGGTATGTCTCCTTCCCTGCAGCAAAAGGTTGGAGTGTCATTCATGTGTCAAAGCCCAAGCCATCGGCAAAAGTAAAGAATAGAGTAGTAGTAGTAGTAGTAGTAGTATGGTTGTAGTTGTTCAACCAAAATCTGAATTCAGAGGAGCACACCCGGACGCCGAAAGACATCAAATCATTATATATTATATACTATATACTTAAGTTGTTTGTTCAACATGTTCACCAAAATGTGGGGGGAGTTCAGCTCCCCGAACAGCCAGCCATGCTCCGCCTGTCGAATCACGCTGAAATCCATAACATCCACAAGACCATCGACCAGGTAGAACAGCACCTGGGCAGTTTCCATCGTTCCGCGCTGTCCCGCGCGTATCTTCCGGCCCTGTGAAATGGGTCGAACAGGGTTTTTCGCACAGTCTACTGCAGGACGACCATGCATCTCACTCAGCAAAGGTCGTCACATGCACCTCTTCCTTGCATGAAGACCTTCCAAAAAAGAAGACCTGCGGAATCAAGTGTTGGTCATAATACATCCTTTGTGTTCTGGACAGTGGCTAACATATCGGTTCATCTTTGAAAAATGAACCACCCGCGCCTTCGGGTACTCCGCATGTCGATAGAGGCGTCCCCGTGCGGAAGTGGCCGTCAGGCCCAGACTGCCCACCGAGCCCCTGGCACACTCGCATTTGGGGCACCAGCTACTGGAATTGGATGGACGGCGGGTCAATACCAAATTCACATCAAATGACCAAATGCTCATTTACAGGGGGGATGAGTCGCTTCATTTCCTGATGGTTTGTGGTCGGACCTGTGTCTTTGACTAGATATCAGTTGGTACTAACTAACCATAAAAACACCCTGCAATGAGTCGCTCTCAACTCTTCGTCACTTCCCGCACCTATGGGTCAAGGCGTCCCAGCCAAGCTGGGCTGGCGTTGACATGGGCATCTTCTTGTTGCGCTGCAGCATGAGGACATAGCAAAGCCTCGCGAGACTTGACGTAGGGGTCTCCCCGAAGATACTGGCAATGGTTTCCACCTACGAGAGACATGCAGTTCGTCAAGGAAAAACACCTGCCCGCTTTTTGGGCCCCAAGAAAGGCATTTGGGCTGCACGGAGCTGCCTGAGCACATAAAACAAAACGTAATGCCCCCCTTGTTACTAGTAGCTTCTTGCTGCTAGTAGTAATGTAATGCCCTTGTTACTAGTAGCGAGGCAGGGCAAACACATCAAACAAGCGTCTGCTCTAACACTTCTGAAAGCCGTTAGCATCCCTTCATTCCAAACAAACCCAACAATGATTTCACATAATATCCTCCATATCCCGATCAGTGTTCACCAACCCCCCCGAGCAACAAACGGCCTGATGTTGGGTCCACCCCACAGCCGCAGCAGTGAGTAGAGTTCCTCAAGCCTCACAAGTGAGGATATACAGTGATACATTGCCATTCTGGCATGAGAGAGGCCAATCCCACACCTCACCAACAGGGATGGGTCAACCCGCAATCCCTACAAGCAGAAGGAAAAGGCTGGAGGCTTTGCAGGCCCAAGAACATCATCTAAAGCAATGCTGCGCCACTCCATTCAACTGAAACAGTCTCACCTGTCTCATCTATATACAGTATTGTACAGTATTAATTACTATAAGTGAAGAAAACCTGGCCTGCTGCATGAATCAGCATCCCATGAACGGCCTTCGCCCAACAACTCCCCCACCCTCCGCAAACACGGACCCAACATGCGTCCCATCAAGTTAGGGATGCTCCATGATGCTCCAACGTTCAGGCAAACCAATACTCGGTTTCCCAGTTGGAGGTTTTGGCATCATCTTAACAAATACATAGACGTGCTGAACCCCTTGGCCAGGCCAAGGTGATGTAGCACACCAGCAACCTTGACAAGGTCTCTAAAAAGAGACGTAGCGACGTAGCGGCAATCACAACTGCCCTTGGTCTTGTCTTACAATCTCATCAAATCTCATAAAACGGATTTAGTAAGGATTTATTCAAGGTCTGCTTCTCCAAGAGAGAACCATCTATCGAAACCAATCCCAGTCGTCCAATTCGTTCACATCTTCGAAGCATGGCTTTGGTGGACATGGCTATACATGGCTCCTTCGTTCGCTCATTGTTCACTTCGCATAGATGATGTCGAAGCCATAACCTCTACTCACCTCCATCCACCGAGCTCACCGGGCCTCTGGAGCTCCCCGGGCGCGTCGCCCACGTAGCGCACGAAGAGCAACGGCCGGGCGCCCCGCACATCGCGGCTGTGGCGGCAGAGCACCCTGCGGCTGGGGCGGCAGGGAAAGGCTTCACTCAAGACAATGAGTCTATCTTGCACTCTTTTTCAGTGAGGATATAGAACTTATATAGAGCTCAATAAGCTCATCTTGAGCTCTATAAGCTCATCTTGAGGCCAAGGGTGACTTATATACATCTTGGCCATACAACTTATCTTCACAGTCTTCAGTCTTCACATATCTTGACGTATTCTATAATTCTATGGTCTATGGTCGTGCACATGTTGGCTCGTTTGTTGGGCGGACGCGAGCCAATTCGTTCAAAGGAGTGCAGTGAAGAGATGAAACTTCAATGAATTCACATTCTTTGACTGTCCGTTTGGTGGCTCGGCTTCAGCAAGCTATAGAGTCTATTGTATTTGCTTGCGGGGCTCATCCCTCCCCTTGCAAGCCCGGCAGCATCACCTGAGTCAAATAATTGGAACCTACCTCTTCAGCAATCAGGTGTGTTCAATGGAGATCCGCAAGTAGCTTAGGGCAGTCTATCGTAAAACCCCAAAATCAAGCTGCTGGCACCCTCTGGCTGCTACCCTTCGGACACATGCTCGGCGCTGCTCTCCTCCCGTCGCGCTGCTGTTAGGCGCCTGAAGCGTCGAATGCGGCGATCCAACTTGGGCTGATCCAGCTGCGGGTGGTGATGTGGAAACCTCAGGTTCCGCTGATCAGCGGTCAACGGTCAAAGCAGAACAACGATGGGTCAAGCATGGTCAAAACCTTGGAGCTGGTCATGAAATTCATTAAATGTAGCTTGGACCCTCAGCTGCCTCATCCACTCTTGGGGGTCAAGTCAAGCTGCTACAAACACTTTAACAATAAAAAATACCCATTATACTCAGCACAATTTGTGGAACAACTTGGTACTGGAGCTCTTTCTTCTTGTACCGTGGTTGGTGAAAAAGGTGCCTCCATTCAAGTTGAGCTGTCAAAACCTGGGGAAACAGGGCTGGCTCAAAACCAAGGGAAGGAAGGCTCTGAAAGGTTTATATATATATAAATATATATTAGGGAATGGGTTATGATGGGTTGTGGGAGCTGTTCATCTCCTGCCAACACTGGTTGGGACTTTGATGGACCCTTGGATGCCTTTTAGAAATGCTCAAGTGGATCCATCCGGAGAGCACATGAAGGACCGCCTCAGGCTGCTCTTCCGCGCCCCTCTGCGTATCCCAATAGGTGGCCCCCGTGAATCCACGACTCCCATCGGGCCCAAATGGATCTGTTTTGGGGCTCGACTCGCTACCCTCGCCCAGTCCAGGCCGCGTATGCATCCACGAGCGGTAGTTGTGAAAAATGATGCGTTCCAAGCCTGGTCGCTGTGCCGTGGGAGGGCTGCGGCTTGGGTCCGCACATTTCGGCGTTCTGGAGTCAGGGGGCGCAGCACGCCGACAGGTGGTTCTGGTTGAAACACCACACGCAAAGGGACACATTGTATCAGGTTGTTGAAGCAGGTTGAAGTTGAAGACACCTGCACTCCAACCACCTGCAGTTCGGGAACCTTGCTCAATCAGGGAGTCTGAAAGGGTTGGTCCTTTTGGTGGCCACTGGCTCCACCGATGATCCCTTTTGTCTCCCCATCCACCTGGTGGGTGGACGTCAACCATGTCATTGTAGTGAAAGAAGTTGGCGAAATCGTGGCGCAAGAAGAACAGAACTGCATCCAATGACGTCCTCAGTGCCGGCTGGTGACAGTTCCGCACCGCACGCAGAACTGCACCGGACGGGCCGGACGGGTGTCCGGGAGGCCGTCCGGTGTCGCATAGCCCAGGCACAACAAGGAGTCGAAGGGCAAGTACCTGAGCTACACGGAACTGGTAGGGGAGACAGCAGCACACTAACACACAAAGGAGTCTAGCATAGTCTGGCGGATGACTTGACTATATATTATACATATATATATATATATTCTGCGAGGGCTATGACGGCTATGATCTGCGAGAACTCCTTTTCCCGGGAATGCCTGTGACCTGCCTGTGATGCCATGGACTAGGTCCGTTATGGAAACCCTTGGCTTCTGTTGGGGGTCCAGCCTCCGTTTGGTCTTGTGAGGCTCGCATGGAGCACGAAGGCTGGACCCTCTCTGTGGTAGGCATGACTCGTCCGACGTCCCGGAGTCATCTAAACTTCCAAACGCCCAGTTCTAAAAGGCCAGAGACCAACATCTGCCGTAGAAGAGAACAACATCTGAAGAACCAAACATGGGCCTACTCAGAGCAAGGCCTAAATAAGTTCTTCTATGATAAGGCAAGACGGAACCAACATGGGAGGCTAAAAGCGATTCAATGCAAACATCTGCCGTGTTTGTGTGTGTGTGCCTAAACACAACGTCGTCGTAGTGGGATACTGTGTGTCTTTGTCTTCCATGTTTGTGTAGCAAATCACCCCGCGAACCTGTGTGTGGTTATATATCCGAAGGTTCCACCACAGAAGGATTTTTGAAAAACGCCTTATGAGTCATAGGGCTTCTGCGGAGAGAATGAGTCTTATGGGAACAAACTCAGCCGCTTACACTTATCCACCTGCACAGGATGTCACACTGGGTGAGTGTCACTTCTTCTGGCAAACGGTGCCTTGTTTCTGTCTACCTGAATGGAATGTTAAGCGATGTTAGCGTATACGTACAAAACAAAGTGAGGAGCATGGTCTTGAATCAAGATTCGCTTGACACTCTTTTGCCAAGGTGCGAATGGCCTTATAGACGTAATTGCGATGTCGAACTTCATTCACTGAATTCGCTTTGGGTTCACACCTTACCTCCTTCGGTTTGAAACCTTAGGGGTTTGGTTTTGGTTTTGTTCGTTCACCGTGATGTTCCGTGGCCCACCCGGGTAAACCGGAGGCTTACAGACGTGATCTGTGCATTCGGGTGTAGGGGAAATGAGTCATCCAGGGGCCATGCCATCCACTTGCATGATGATTCCAGGGAGCCCTAGCGGGTCAAACCCCGGTCTATCTGCCGTATGCTGACCCGCCATCGGGCCGGGTGCCGACGAGACACTCAGCGCCGTGAAAGTAAGGATAGCCCACCTCAAATGGGTGCGGCGTCGTTGCACACGGTACTCGCACCATATACAAGTAGTATAGCCTGCAAATGGGTGTTCATTCTAAGAAATTGCCTTTGATTCATTCTCTGTCACCTGGTGGCCTAATATGGCCTCATGGTTTCTGGAAGCATAATCTGCAGCTGACACCTCCTGAAAGTCACCTGGCCATCACTACCCTAAACGCCCGGGGTGCCCCAGTGGGTGGTTTTGCTGGGCCCGACTTCCACAAATAGCACCGAGGAACACACGGCCAAAGGGGAAAATGTGGACTGCTCAAATCTACCACTTACACATCCTGTTTGAATGAAATCGTTGCAAAAGGGCCTCCAACTTGGAAGGATTCGTGTGTACGTCGTACTTTGCCGGTGGTGATGCCGGTTTTGGAGCACTTGCTTCGCTTCACCGATTGCACTCTCAAGAGCCGTGGCGCCGGGCAGTGGGCATCTCCGGAGCATTCATCAATGCCCAGCTTCACGCAGCAGCGATTGCCCAAACTCACCGGGTACAAGCCACGACCTCAATCGGCATGGCGAAGAAGTCAGCACATTCGCGCGCCAAGGCGCTGAAGGAAGCGACATCTCGGTGGTTGGATCGCGGTCGGTGAGTTGTGGGTTGAACTTTTTCGGACTGGGAAGGGCGGACATCACGAGATGTCATCTCTTGACCTGTCTGGTGATTGATGGCCTTTGGAAACCCAAAGCCAGCCCTTGGATTCAACCCCTTGAGCCATGCGAGGCCTCAGAAGAAATCAAATTGTTGGGAGAATGGTGAAAATATGTGAGAATGCCCTTGATTCTGTAGGGCAAGCACCAGAGACCCTTTGCAAGGACAAGGTAACACTTGGGTGATCAGCCTTTCAAATGAGACCTTCTGGGTGTCTGGTTAAGGTATACAGTAGCACACATTGGCACACATCGTCCGAAGTCGTTCTGGCCTGAAATGGCCTGAACAAATCATGGCAAATTGTTCACAAAAACATGTAATATACAATAGACTCAATAGACTGTATAGACATTGATGTTCAAGGGTTGTTCTTGTGTTGGCCCCACCTTCTCTTGCCGGGCGGCCCACTTGCCAGGCGGGGCAATCATAGATGCAGCGACCCTCGCAGGCCTGGCGATCCCCCTGGATCCACCGGCCTCTCGGTCCAAAGGTCTGCCCTGGAAGAACACCAATCCAACGGACCGGACTAGGACCGGACTAGGACTCCGGAAGAACACCATAAGTCTAGGAGTCTAGGACTTCAATTCAACGGTGTCCTGGACTTCAATGTGTATAATGTGTGCTTTTGATGTCCAACGAGCCCCACACGATGAAGAAACACTCCACGGAGCTCCCACAGACGGGCTTCGTTCCGTCCGATGTGAATGAGGCGTTCCTAATTGGACTACTTACTACTTACTACTTATTATGCACTCCAAAAACGAAATAACATGAAATAACAGGTCGGAAAATGTCGGAAAGCACCGACACACAAAAACACATTGTTAAACAAGTGAAACTGAGACTCCGAGAAGTTACGCTTACACCAGGAACGCAGGAACAACAAATAGATAAATAAGAAATTTATCGGTCACCATGAATTTTATATGATTGAAAAGAATGAAAAGAATGAAAAGAATAGAAAATTCATGGCCTAACAACAAAAATATTATAATGATAACTTCATGATTAATATTTTTGTCCGTCTTCGTCTATAGGAGCTCTTCTAAGATATGAATTGAAATTAAGAATGAAAAGAATTGCAATTCTTAATGAAAATGAATGGTGAGGGAGTTAGCCAAAAATTAATTTATTGTATTTTTGGCGTTCATCCAGGCCTGATTCCTGATGATATAGAACCATCATAACCATCCTTGGTTGATCTTGGTAGGGGGTTAGGTCCATGAGTCAACATTACTACTGTGTGCCGTATGACTTCGCCCAAGGGGGGGGGTCCAGCGCCGGGTCCCCTCCCGTCTCACCTCGGCGAGCGCGAGCTCTGAGCCGCGCAAGGCCAGAACCTGAAGGATCGAAAGAACGGCCCATGGGACTGCCATAGGACTGCCGGGGTAGACGCGGAGTGGGGCCAGGGGGGGTCCTGTCTGGGGCGGCAGTCCGACATGGCAGTCCCATGGAGTGTCTGGGAAGCAAATAGCAAGCGATAACAGGGGTCCTACAGATTTTCAAAGCCCCTTTCTATCGGCCGTCCCCACTGGAAAACAGGTGTCCCACAGAATTTGAAAGCTCGTTTGTAGATGTTTGTAGTAGGACATTTCTAGAACTGTCTATGAAACCGCTTCTGAAAGAGCTGCTGGTCGAATTGTTTGTCGGACGAGTCCAACATGTTCATCAAACCCCGTGCGTTGAGAATGAATGGCCAGGACGCTACTTCCAATATTGGAACACGTAATGTAAGAACATGACTCATGACTGCCAGAATCCCGAACGGGTGCTGTCTCCTATTCACCGCCCCACATGGTCCCACTACCCGATCGGCCGCCCCGGCGGAGTGCGGATCCGAGGCACTCGGCCCGAGGGCAGGAGCACCTCCTAGGAGGGGATTCCGAATGGACGACACGTCGAGTGACCGATCCACCGACTCGTTTCTGCTGGGCAACCGGTGGGGAGGTGCAAGCTGGTCAAGCACAGTGGCGATGGTTCTCGTCCATTTCTCGAGTTAATGGGTGTTGGGCACTCAAAAGGACCAAGTACTGCATACAGGTGAAGCATGGTTAAGCTTGGCTTATGAAAGCACAGGTGGTTTCACAAGTATGCTCACTCACACTGCTGAGGCACCAGGTGCTGTTGCGACAAATGCGTCTACGTCCCAAAGGAGGTCAGTTTGCACAGGACAAGTGGCGCCAGGACAATTATGCATGTTCTTGAAAACGCCAGGCGAATGTCTGACCTGGGTCCCGCCACACGCAAGTTATATACTTAATATTATTAATATACTTCGATTCATGCTGAGAGTCCCAAAGCTGCTTCTCAAAGTCCCACCAGAGAGTCCAACCACGTTGACCATTCAAACCTCAGCGGAGTTGAGCCGAATGTTCTTGTTTTGCTTTGTCAGCCCAGAGTTGTCCTTGACCCGGGGGGAGAAGGGGCAAGATCTTCCCAAGGGCAAAATCTTGACATCTTGAAGTACTACATACCTGGATCTTCCAACAAGTCCTGTGCAAGTCAAACAGGTGTCCAATTGCCGAGTGCTAGAGTGCCTAAACCGTCCTAAACCAATCTCGACATGCGAAACCCTGAAACTTCACTCTATTGTAATAGAATATTATAAGGTCTCAACCCTTTTGGTCCGCCAGCCTTGCTTCCCCACGAAGGTCACGAAGCACGTATCGTGCGTCGCACAGTCGAACTCTGCAAAGGCCGGAGGCCCCACGTCACTTGCGATCGCGGAGCCACTGGACTTGCTCTGGCCAAAGACCACCACCTGAGCTCCCACGTCGATCTGGCTGTCACAGCCTTCCGCGCCAGGTGTGCAGCAACAACCCAGGTCATCCAGAGCGGTGTGGTCCTGAGCAATTGGATGTCGATCGATCTTGGATTTGGGGCTTTATGCATAGAGTGTACATGGTACATTTTATCAAGAAAAAACATATGTTACATTCAATAATATACAATATACATAATATACATTCAGTCTATATCCCAATCGGATTCCAATGCCATGTATGTGGATGAAGCCCGATTCTGCCCAAAGATCCCATCTACTCGACCGGTCGTTCGCCGAACGTCGTTGCGACCGGCTCTCCTGCGACATCAGCTCCCAGACCGAGGAGAGATGGATGCGATCGCCTTCGCCCGCCTTCGGTACACGCGACGCCGACGTCGGTCAATGGACACTCGACGCCAAACCAGGAACTGATCCATTCGATCGTCATGGATCTTCCATTCTTCCAGGGGACACAGTTGATAGCAGCACTGCACATTGTACCCTAAAGTCTTGTAGGATCTTTCTATTTTCAGTCTTGCAGCGGATGAGACACACAAACAATTTTAGCCAGTAAATATGTTTGATCATTGCCTCTATGTCAACAGCATGAAAGAGAAAATAACAGAATGATTGAAAAAACAACAACGAACACATATTCAGTTGAGCTGCACAAGCCGTGCAGCTGGGCACGCTTTCCCGGCGAAGTTCCATCAAAAGACCTGACGAAAAGGTCAGACGATGTCGAACGCACCGCAGGTGCACCGCTTCGGAAGAAGCGCCCGAGCTTTGGCACAGCGGTGGTGGTCTGGACTTGTTGTGGTTAAACTGAGTTTAAACACATGGTCAACCTGGTTAACCTTCTCATGACTTCACTTTGGATGCCAAGGAGTGGGGCCAAACACTCTCTACAAGTCTCGCATCGCGAGAAGCGGGGCATCAGATCGGTCGACGAAGCGAACGGCTACCAACGGCTACCTGTGGCTGCCGACCCGTGAGCGGGCTGGGCTCCCGGGCAGTTCCGGCAAAGCCGGTGCTGGCCGGGGCAGGTCAAAAGAATGCCATCGCCCGCGGAGAAGGAGCAGCAATCGCAGGTGACCTGTCCGGCACAGGGAGGAATGTGGGCTGCTGCCACATCTGTCCATGAAGATCTGCGAGATGGCAAGCCGGTCCCTGTTCAGGTAACGTCTCAACCTCTGTTGGACTCAAGCAAGCCAGCCCATCATTCTTAGCTCATCCCGTGAACTGTTGGGCCTCCCGCACTGGCTCAGGCCCACCAACGTCTGTGCCTCGGAGGGCGCGCGATTGTTGTGAACTTCAGGGTGAGGGGAGTGAAATAAATTCACAACTCACAATGTCCCACAATCATTGTGTACACCGTAAATCTTGAAGGAACGCATTGAATCTTGGAGATGTCTTAAGCGTGGTGCTGGAAGACTTGTGAGACAAATCCTCAACCCGCTATAGGCCTGTTCCCAAGCTGGGCTCTCTTGCAAAACATGCCAAACTTGTGAACATCCCTGTGCCACAGAGACTCACCGTCTCGAATCCCGCAAATCCTCCTGGAATATCTCCAAGTTCGGTCCAATTCCACAACTTGAGCCAGGAATCCAGGAGTTTGAGACTCCCCAGGAGCTCCCAGGCGTCCGCTTGGACAAACTATATATCATGAATTTCATGTAGAGTATCCAATCAAATCGCTCTGAGATGCCCCAGAGGTGGTTTGCCTTTGGGACGCACCAGCCGAGCGCCCTCCCCCTCAGGACCACACCAGCGCGGTTCACCAATGCGGAGTGCTCGGGCCGTAGCTTGCGAGCAAGCTCGGTGTCTTCCGCACAAACGGTGATGCACCAGCGGCCACAGGGGAGATTGACCTGGCATGACCGCCAGGGACAAACGCGATGTTTTCGAGCTCATGAAAGCCTTAAAGCAACATCATGGAACATCCAGCATGTGGGTGGGCAGACCTAGTTTATTTTGGTGGGCTCGCTTGGATTTAAGCAGCCCATCCGCCGACCGTGGCGTGGCCCAACCGACCGTGGCTCGGGTGCAATTCAATCATCAACACCCCCCATGTAAGTTTCGAACAACCTCTTCATATATCATATGGAGGTGTCATTGATCAAGAGTCTACGTTGAGCCGATCAGTAGGAAAGGGAGCGGGATATCAAAATAAGTTGATCTTTGTTGGGGATTGGGGACGCGAATAATGCGAACACGCTAGGGGGCTTGTAGAAAAGGAGGTGCTAATACGCTGATGAGCTGAGGATTAAGCTTATCGGATTTCAGCTATTCCAGAAGGGGATTTGGATGCTTCTTGCGGATGTTCCGATGCAAATTGCTCTTCACAATGGGAGGACTCAATCTTAATCCAAAGATGGCCTGCGACTATGTACGCAATGGACAGCACCACTAGTGAAGCAACATCATCATGATCTGCTGACACATCTGAATTTCTCGATTGGAATCTCCAGAGAAAACCGTTTGGCCTCGGTACACGAGCCTGTCAGGAAACACGCCCTGCCACCTGACGAGGCCTTCAGCCAGCTGGGCTGAAGAGCGCACCTTGGTGACTTCCTGGCGGACCTCTGCCGTGCGGAAGATGGCCCAGTGAGCACTACCGCCCGGCACTTCCACCACTTGTGCTGTGCCTTCGATCAGGTGTTGGAGCGTCTCGCGATGCGAACACATGAGAATGGCTCTATAGGATGTCATATGGCTCTATCTCAAACATAGGGTTTCCCTCCTCAAACCGGATAAAAACCTACTCGGGTCAATGGAAGAAAGGACAACAACTACAAGGTATGTCTGCTCTTCCTCTTGGTCAGCCATAGGCCATTCGCCATATGGGGCCGGTCTGTGGATCATGTTGGCCAGGCCTAGTGGAAAACGACGATGAAACCCAACTTATGTACCTTATGTCAAAGGTTCCTGTGCACTTTCGGGTCTCAACTAGCAATTTGGTCGCGATTTGTCATCTACCTTTGGGTAGGACAGGAGCCAGTGCAACAACTGCCCCACTATGTTCTTTGCGAGCCTGTCGAAGTGCAAAGCGAGCGAGCTGCGAGCTCTTGCCCTGGCCTTTCTTGTGCAAGCGGAGCGCACCACCTTCACTGACACGCCGATGACTGTGGCTGGGATGAAACCTCAGCTGATGGCCCTAATGTTTCGTCTGTGTCGGCTTGATTGCCTAATGACAACAGCCAAACCAACACACAAAAACCGGGCCGGGTGCTTTTTAGGTGTGTATACGGGGTTTCATGTTCGGAAGCAGTTCTGACATGTTCTGACGTCGTCTGTTATCAATGGTGGTCAGAAGGACCAGTCAGTATTCATCAAGCCGCATTCGGAACTATATACAATGTCTCCGTAATATGCATCTCAGACTCCATGTGTCCCCATGAAAAACATGATTCACACAAATAAAATCTGTTCACCATGCTTCATCTCTTTTTTCCCACCAAGAAGCCTCTTTCGTTTTGGAACCAATAGGAACCATGTTTAGGCCAAAAACGCTTTGGCCAATGCACTGATTGGGGTATGACGGGTATTACTCTATATTACAAAATTACGTGGTACCCCAAAAAAAAACACGCACGGTGTCCGATACATGTTCGACGTGAGGATCGACTTTTCTATCTACCTGTCCAAAGAGTTGGAGTCGTCGACAAAGACATGCTGCGACCGTCGCCTGACTCGGACGTCGACGACTCAGTAGGTCGCGACCCCCCATGCAGGCTGCGTGAGGAGGTTTTTTTGACAGATTCTTGGACCTGTATGACATAAGTTCGGCCGGCTTGGTTGTGTGATTGTGTTGGCCCGTTTGTTTGGTGTATTGTTCTTTGCGGTCGGTTGCGGTCCTTTTTCGTGTGTTGTACGCTAATTTAATCTGACTAATGTGTGATCGTTTTGCCGTTTGCACAGATGTGCGGCCGTTGCGCAGAAACGGGGCCAATGACGAAAACTATCAGAATTTGTTGGCCGTTGGAAGATCCAGTGTGATCCATGGTAGAGTGGCGTTTCCTCGCAAGTTGGCAAGCTGGCAAAATCATGATGCATGCAGAATGAAAAGAAACATATGAGCTGTGTTTTAAACGTCTTATATCCCGGCACCAAACAAGGCAACGCTTATGCCGCGTCTTACGCTTTGCTTACGCGCGCGCAGTTTTGCTTACGCGGAATAAACCGGCTTACGCAGACCTTACGCTGGACATTTTTAGTACCCGGCCACAGCCCCAGCTTACGCGCAGCAACTTTTACCTGCAGGAACCGCGGCGTTTCTAGGCAGCATCAAGCAGTAGAAGATGATGACGTGGACGAAGAAGATGAAGCCGATGAAGACGCAGCAACAGAAGAAGCCCGCAGATGACGAAGTTGACGACGCTTCTTGGCAGCACCTCTGCTGAGCGCGCGGGCATGACAGACAGACTGGGCACCACTGATAGCGGACAGGCCAGGAAGGACAGATTGACATCTAGAGAAAGCCTTGTTCGGCAAGAGGTGTGCTTCATCCAGAGAAGGGCAACGTTGTTCCAAAATGTCCGAGACGGTCTTTGCGACAAGTCGCTGGCGCTCTGCACCAAGTTGCGAAAATGATTTGTGTTTGGGAGACATGGGCAACTACTGGCAAAAGCAGCTTTGGCTTACGCGCCGCTTACGCGGACCTTACGCGGACCTTACGTGGATTTTGGCTTCCAACCCGGAAACAAAGTTTGGAGGTGAAGGTCTTGAAAAAGGTATGACACTATGGGCACATTACAGTGTTGCTGTTTCCATCCGATAGTACAGTGCAGTTGTTAAAACTCCTTGTCTTGGTGGACAACCCTTTTCATTGTGGGAATTATCATGATTTCGTTTTCCATGCAATTAAATCTTGCAGAATCATCAGAATCACATTCAACCTGCAGCATGGAGCTTGCCGCCAATTGAGGAAACAAATATCCAGCAACCTGACAGTGATCTCATGGATGTATGTTAAGCTGTAAGCTTGGAATATAAAAGGTTCTTTGTCCAAAACTGTCATTTCACAAATCACTAAAAATCTCTTACGCCAACAACATTGGCTAAAATTACTTACGCGGGCTTACCTAAAATTACTTACGCGGGCTTACGCCCACCAGTGTTTTGCTTACGCCACAGGTCCTTACAAGGATCTCCTTACTTGACATGACAACTGAGGTTTAAAACGTGGCTCATATGATGAATGAAACATTGCAGAATGAAAAGACATGCCAATCATCCCAATTCACCATTTCCAGTGAAAGAATGATGTGGACATGCCCCATGAAAAGAATGAAAAGGACATGCCATCCTCCCGGAAAGACTCACATCCCAATCATCCCAATCATCCGCTCCTCTTCGCACCCGGGCGACACTAAGCTGATGCGTCGACTCCGCCGCCCGGCGCCGTCCTCCCAAGGAGGCAGCTGTTGGCCGCGGCTGTGGAAGCCTCACCAGTTCCACCGGATCACAGCGAGGAATGAATCCATCCCCTTGAAATCGAAGTGATCGATAGGCGGGATGGATTCCATATGATTCCATCCTTCTTGGATCTGGGGCCCGAGGAATTGGAGAGGGAAGCATTTTCAACGTTTCCACTCCGAGACCATCCATGGGACTAGAAGATATGCCGCCCGATTGACTCCCCAAACCACCCCAATGTCTGGGACTGGATTCTCGGGTTGCAACAATCCAATCACATCCAATGACCATCTTGATGCATGATCAGCTGGGCCATGCTGGGCCTGGATGGGGAAGTGGAGAATTCTGATGGCCGCCCCTTGGAAAAGAGGCCATGGGTTTTTTCGAAACTCGCACGGGCCAACGCACAGGAGGAAGACGATCTTCCTGTATGAGTCTGCACGCGTGCACGCGTTCCAAAGCCATGGTCCATGATGTGTCCCAAGCCGGAAGCGACCTGGTGCCCAAGTTTGGCCACGCTGCACCCACTGCAACCCAGGGGCTGATCATGATCTGCTGCTCCATGCCTTTTGTGGCAGAGGCGACCAGAAAGGTTCACTCATGCGATGAAGCAGAACCATCAGAACCCCATGTGTTTCAACATGGACAACAATGCATGGCCGCCCACTTGGTGATGCGGAACGGAACGGCAAGGCCGCCGCCCCTTGGAGTTCCGGACCATTCTGCAGGCAGAGTACCCCGGTCGTACCCCGGTCGTCAAATCGGGGCTCAGGCCGTCGTCACCGAGGAATTTTTCCAAGCCGCTTAAGCGTTGACCTTCAGAGCCCATTTGTTCCAAGATCAGCTGTAGATCATCCTGCCAACTTCCAAGTGCGAAGCTTCAAAGTGGTGGATTCCACTGTCAGTTGAGGTAAGTATTAACATGTTGTAATTTAGGGTCTTCATTCACGCTTGGGTCACATGCAGGTCGAATCTGTAAGGGTCGTTTCGTGCAGCAGGTGCGGCACAGTCAAGTCTCACGATGCTAGCATTCATGTCAAATGTCTTAGACCCATCTCAAGATACAGTGTAAATGGTATGTGCTCGGGTGTGTATGTGTGCGGGTGCTGAAGAAGGTCACTTGTGTCTACACGGGCGTGGAGCTACAAATCCAAGTTGCCTACTCAAATCGATGGGAACCACTGGCCCTGCACAGGAACCCTCGTGTACCAGGCTTACGGGCCACGTATACGTCAAAAAGCAGACCCTGCAGCAGTGCGATCGCGCCCCACTCGTTGGAAATCATCATGGAAATGGACAACCACCTGTCCATTTTCCATTTCCATGTAGTTAGGGAGTGTATCTAGACTCTAGACATGTGAAAGCCAACCTATGGACAAGTCTCAAGCCACCGAGTCACCAGCTCATCAAAGCGGGCTTCAAATCAGAGATGACCCTCCAACCAACCTCAACCCTTCCAGAAAGCCAGTCATGTCAGGTCTATCACTGGTCATCAAAGTCTATGTCTATGACCCGTATGACCCTCTAGGTCTATATAACTATTACAAGTGACAAGTGAATGGTTTGCACTGGTTCTGGCATGAACGCTCACCGGCCCCGCAGCACCAGTGTCTCCGAACGGAGACCGTTGGGAGACGGCGCCTGCATCCGCAACACGATCGCGAAGAGGTGGAAGAACTTCCAAGACCAAAAGTCCTTCACAAAAGAAAACATCGAATGTTTGATCTGGAAGTGAACAAGTGCCGCAGAGTGCTTTCGTCATAGTGAGAATTGTAAATCTTTTTTTGGCCACGTTTTGGGAGTTGACCAAATCCGCTCACAATACATTATGAGACCAAAGCTTCCGGGAAAAGAATCATGCGATGAAAAGGAGGTTAGTAGGCCTTATAAATCAAAGTCGTTTAGATCGGTAAACCCCATCCCATCCGCCACCGTTCTGCCGGTCAATCGCTCCTCCAAGGTGCAGGTCAAATATCTCCCCGCCCGTGGGCCGCCAAACCAATGCCCGAAGTGGCCTCCCTTCCATGCGCGATTCAGCTCCTGCAGCCGGGCGGCCGGGCTTCGGCCCGTGGCACGCGGACGCGTGGCACGAGTGGTACAGTAGGTCGGGCGACGAAGGCGCGTGGCCAAACAATGCCAAACACATGCACAAAGGCGGTCGAAAGCAAAGCCTTGCACGTTACTCCTGGGTTGGGGAATGTTTGGGATCTGGGGACTCTCGACCTGAGAAATGGCATCTCTTGGCATCTCTAAACAGAAAGTTTGGGGTGGAGGACACCGTGGCAGAACCAGCGTTGCCCGCAACAGCAGCACGGAACATGGTAAATGTATATATATATATATATTTATTTATGTTTTTGTAATATACAGTAGCAGTGTCTATTGATGGGGGGCGATCAGAAATATTACAATTAAGCAAATTGGATTGGATCATTTATGAACATTCAGAAGTGGAACTCTCAACTATATAATAGTTGGTCTCGTTGGTCTTGGAGGGGCTGCTATGGAAGCCAGTCGATGCCCTGTCGGACAGGTCTCCTACTACCCCTTCGAACAACCCAAACGTTCCCTGAAAAAAACACATTCCAAGCTACCCGAACTGCGACACTGCCCCCCCCGTCGTCGTTCAACCACTCCAAGCACCACCCAAACGTCGTTTGGGCCTCCAAAACCTCCGGAAAGTCTTGCGGCACCGCCTCACACGCAGGACTCGACCGTGCGGCCGCGTGACACCATGCAACGTCCAAGTCGCTTGGATCACGCCTCTGGTTGATGGAGCAACTAGCATGCCGGAATATGTCCAGAAATGTTCTCAGCAACGCATGGAACCACGGATGAAGGAGCCTCTTCCGGCACTCCCCACAAAAGTCCTCCACTTCGGCTCCCTCGTCGCACCCCTAGATGCCCGACAAAGGATCGGTTTTCCGAAAACACCGAAAGACTAGACCCCCACCTCAAGCCCAAAGAACAAACCGCTGCCGTGGCCAGACATGATCCCGGTGGTCACCAGCGCCTCGGCCGCCTGGCCTGACCGATGCAGACAAGAAAAAGAGAAAACTGGCGGCTGACCGGTGCGTGCGGGGTGTTGTGAGTACCCCTGCCTGCTCACGCAGGTTCCACAGACCGTCCGCTGTCGTGATCGCACTGGTGTGGGTCGAGAAACTCTCGCACTTCTGAAGATGGTTCTGTGCTGGCATCAACTTCTTACCGATGCGCGGTTCAGACATCGCCTGCCAACACATGCTGATATCCAAGCCCGCTGAGGAGACAAAAGGAAGTAAGTGTTGGAATCACCGGATGCTCTGGTGGCAACACCAGAGAGCCCTACGTCACCTGTTTTTGTTTCAAAACATTGAACACCAAAACCTGCTATGGAACAGGGGGCTGGGATCTAGCCCTGTTCCCTTTTGCCTATTGCATGTGGACACCAAAGGGCAACAAGATAGCCCAAACCTCCGGAAAGGTCAAGCATGACTCGACTCAAAAATCTCAAAACATCGTAAAACATCTAAGGGCTGCAAAAGAATTTGTGATCTTTACTCTTGAATGTCATGTGTTTGGGAGCTGACCCCGCCCGTCTCGGCACTGTGCAGTCTCGGCACGACAAACGGCTGGATGAGGACCTGCGAGCAATCCTGGTGATGGACCACGAGGGGACAGGGGAGGACGGATCGGCCCAGAAAAACGTTCCCAACAAAGTGTGGAGCCTTACAGATCTGTTGGCCTTACAGATCTGGCTCGTCAAAGAGGACTGCTCGAGATCAGTCGGGGGCCCAAACCCCTAAGCGGCTCGTAATTCGTGGAGACCACGGCTGGAGAACCATTTGGACAGTGGGCGTCCTTGGCGTCCAAGAAACTGTGATTTCAATCCATCAAGAGAAAAGTCTGCATCTTGGAACGGGCCCCCCCTCCTCGAGAGACTCAGCTCACTGTAGTGCTCACTGTAGGAAAGTATACATAGAGCGTCTTTGTCACAAGCTCTTTGCGATTTGTCACTCTCGCGAACTAGCGCGTCGCCAAACACGTCGCAGAACGCGTCGCTCATTGCGTCTCAAGCATCTCAGGCGTTTCAAGCAAAGGATATTGGCTTGGTGGCTCACTCGGTCCGTCCAGTGCTGCAGTTCAGTCATTCGCACAGCGGTCGGGTAGAGAGAGGTGGGCAAGTCCAGCGCTTGCCTGGCAAATTGCGGGCACAGCCGGCACAGCTGCAGGAATCATTTCAAAGATACTAGTAGCTTCTCGCCCCTATAGTAGCAATGCCAGGAGCTACTAGTAGCTAGTAGCTTCTTGTTACTAGTATGGTTCCGCTGTGAAGTAGTTCCAATGTTCTTCTCTGCATGGGTGCCTCAAGATCGAATGGTCCAAAGGACCCCGAAATGTTGAACATCTTCACTTGTCACACCCGGACGTGCGCCACTGGGCCGGATTGCATACTTCTACCCAAGCTTGCTTGCATCTCCCTGGAGGATTCCGTGAATTTCAATTAGTCCAGAAAGCCCAACGACTCTTCTGATCAGGCCGGGCTCTGCAATCCCGGCTGCATGGCTCTCTCCCGAGCAGCTTTCACCGAGGGCAAGTTCTGCACGGCGTTGTTGAACTGCGCGTCCGTGTCCCCAAAAAGGTTCTCCCTCCTCAGTGCATTCGGCTGCTGGAGACGGCCAAGCAACTGTTCAGAGAGGGGCACATACTGCATAAGAGTTGTCCTGAAAACAGAACTTCCTGCGTCCTGTGTTGAAAGTAACTGGCACGCCTCCAAAGACCGCGCAGGGGGTAAGTGTCCCACTGAAGCAAGTTGAAGCAATTATAAAGATGCGAGTCTTAAGTACAAAGAGCAAGATTCCACTCCATGTTCCTGGACCATGTACAATACGGAAGGATAACGTAGACTTACAGTATCTTACATGTAACCCCGTGGGTCCCTTGGCCTTGCTCAGCCTTGTTTGAATCAACTCCATCCGCAATCCATTGAAGCAAAGCATCTTCATCAGCGCATGCAATGCTTCAGTGTTCACCTCTGCGGCATGGGACATGTCGGGACGGACCTGTCGGGATGTGGCACCAATGCTGCCAATGCTTTCTCTCTCTGCGAGCCCAACAGCACGGCTAGCCCTTCAGATCGGCACATTCATCATCGGGCCACGGCATGTGACCTTGAAGTGCCCGCTCTTCCCAAACGCCTTTGAGGGGTCTCCCCATGTAAATCATACACGAAAGCACATCACAAGACCTTCAACGACATGCTGTTCCCTATGCGGTACACACACGAATTGTTCTGGTGTATGGGTCATGTGTGATGTGTGTGTGGTTGTGTGTGTATCTATGCTTTTCTCTCTACCTCCTCGCATTGTGCTGTGAAAGTCATGTAAGAAACATAAAGATACCCTGAGGCACTGCCCTGCAGCAGCAGTGTGATCATTCACAATCCAAAGGTTCTGCTCATGTTGGGGGACGGTACATAAACCGAGCTGACAATATTGACACACAAATCAAACAATCTCATAGATGACATTTTCTCTGTGAACAACCACCTGAAACTACTTGTGTCCACCCCCACGACCTGCACACACCCTGCGCCTTCTCCTCCGGCATCTCCTCTTCATCTTCTTCCAGGATCGCCAGCGAGCGAGAGAGGATCTGCCCCTGCGCAAAACCAGATCCAATCCCCAGACCACTGAGTTCAGAAGGAAGAAATAACCCAGAAATAGAACGAAACTTGTTGGGTTTCGGGTGCTGTGCTGAATCTTGCTCTCCTTATGGGAGGTGGCCCTGGGAACCCCTGCAAGTTATGGATGTATAGGTCGGTGGATGGATGGATGGATGGATGGATGGCTGGCTGGCTGGCTGGCTGGCTGGCTGGCTGGCTGGCTGGCTGGATGGATGGATGGATGGATGGATATACATGAGTGCGTGGTCAAACTTCCCCATAGACACATGAGGATATGGCTATGGTCTTCCAACATCGTTTCCTTGTGTTGTACACCTTTTTCTGGTCCCCAAGAGAATGGGCCCCCAACACCCACGGCGTGGCTGTCGCACCGACAACATGGCACCTGCTTCCGCAGCTGCTCCAGATGCGCTTCACGTGCACCTGCCATAGCGGCCGCCTGAGTATCACCCTCCTTGGCCGCGTGGCAGGGCGGGCGTGGCCTTGTTTTGGTCAAAGGATGATGTGTAGGACAGAAGGATGTGAGGGGAGTATATACGTTTTTTGTCAGTGCCCTTTTGTCGGTGACCGGGCCGGTGGCCGGTGGCCTTGAGCGGGGGGTATTTGAATTGGAGTTTCCCCAAGCTTTTGGGAAGCTATGATGTGTGGGCACGCGGTTCTTGGATGCCTTGGGGCACTTGCAGGTAGAGCTGGGGTGGCCCAGTTTGCCACCTCATGGTTTCGCCAGCAAGCCTGGGGCCTACAACAGCCCAAACTTTACCAAGATGTTCACGAACTGGTCTTTCGACACAAGCATGTGTGGAGACCAAACTCGCGCTGTGGTCCAAGTAGTTCAGACCATGGCAAAGATTCCTTTGTCAATGGTCCACACCCATCTCTGCAACCGGAGCGCGCACATGGCCAGCGCGCCCGCCAATGCCGACGGCCGCTGCGGTAGTAGCGCCAGGGTGTGCGGCTTGGGCGCGGCTTCTTGCTGCGATGGGTCGCCTGGTCCAGTCTGAACGTGAGCCTCGCCCACTCCACATCAACAGGTGATCATCTTCAGTTTTCAAATGGTTCCCTCACACCGGACCTTTGGAACGAAAAGACAGAAGTCCTTTTGGCATCTTTTGGTCCAAGAGGCTCTGGTCATCTGGTGACTCACTGTGCTGAGCCACTTGCCTGAGTATAGAAACGGGTGCCCATCATCAGCCAGTTGCAACATCTGTACACCCCAAATCCCAGAATTGCATGATTCCCTCAAAAAAAATCAATTGCGAAACCATCCAGAACTTGCGATTGTCACCCAAATCCTGAGGTCAATTTTTGGAAAAACACAGTCATTCGTGCACCCTCTGCTCGCAAGCCGCAACCCAAGGCAGCTTTAACATCTGCAGTGGAGGGTGGGTCAAAAAAGCTCGATGTCGATTCAGATTCATCTCAGGCAAAAAACATGGGAGAACGAAGCTCCAATGATTATGAAGAAGCAGATCCAGCAGACGGAAGCCACTGAGTGAGATCGAACGTGTTTGTCCATCACTCGCCTCGATCCCCGTCTCTTTATTTTTTCTCGGTTCTATTATGCCTGCTTACGTCACGGCCACGGCACAAGCCAAAAGTGGCCCCGGGAAAGGATCGTTCGCCTTTGACCCTCAAACCAAAGCAGCCCTAGCTGCTGGAACTGGGACCAAATCGCAGCTTCTGTTGCCCAGATGCCGTGTTGCAAGGGGCTTGTGTCCATGCCTGAACCTTGCCACCCACGTCCTTCGTGACCTTGCCACACTTGCTGCAAGCAAGCCATTCGCCCCTCCTCCACAGAGCATGGCTGGTGTGAATCCTGGTTCGAAGCTGCAGGTCCCCTTCATGTAGTTGCATGTACTGACACGGGAGATTGGTCAGGATTCGGAGGGCATCTTTACCACATCTGCGAGGGACCTTCTTCCAGCACCGCAAACAGCTAAAGGCACTAGCTCGCAGCACCCATCTGTGACCGGGAGTGTCATCCGGGATCAAGGCGCTTTCATCAACAAGCTGCTGCATGTGCTGAGTCAAGGAAAGGCTGCGCTGTCCAGCACAGATGGTGCCATCCTTCTTCTCAATCTCAGCATGTGTGGAACAGGCCTTTATGTTCATCCCACATGCACTGCATTGAACTCCTCCGCCTTTGAGGGCCCACTGATGTTGCCCTTCAGCATGCTCCCTCTGAGTGAGCTGTTGCATCACCTCAATGCGTCCCTTGGGTGCCCGCACTTTGACCTTGTAGTCAGCTTCAACCGTGGAGAGCTTGTCATGCATATAATGCTGTTTGTCTTGCAACAATGCCGCAATTTTCTCAGCTGCCACCTCATAGACCTGACTATGCCAGTGATCATTGTCTTGCAGGGTTTGTACCAAGTCCTCCAGCGTCTCCTGCACTGCCGGTAGGGTGGCACAGTGTTGGGCCTCTTGGTATTGCAGCCATGCCCTCTGATCACCTTGGTCACCTTTCAGCAGCTTGGGCGGAACATGAAGTGTGCGCAACCTTGACCACTCCTTAGCATCAAGGTTATGCCATAGATCTGCAATGAGCTCATTTGTCTCCCCTTTTTGAAGTGCCTGCCACCCACTGCGGCTGGGGATGTTGATCTGATGGCGCCCCAAGAAGGCTTGGAGGATCACCCAACAACCAAAAACCCATGCCCTGGCTTCACTAGGCTTGCCTGGTGTCAGGGCCGTGCACGTGCCAACAATATGCCACCCACCATCTGTCCATTGACCTACAACAATAGCAACTGCATACTTTTGCACACGCACATCTTTGCAGGTTGCTTTGACTCCAATGGCAATCCGGCAGCTCGGACCAATGCGTGTGGGCCATCCATCCTCAAGAATACCAGTGGTGTGTACTGAGTCAACTCCTACAAGTGGCCGGTAGGAGGGACTGTCAATCATGCCTCTTGCCCACAACATGGAATCTTCATTGGCAGCAATGAGCCTGGTCCACTCAGCTGGTAGGGGCTGTTCATGATAGCAACATTCCCAGATGAGATGCTTCATGGAGACAGGTACCTCGCACAAAGGACATACCGCTCTTCCACCACTCGTGTGAGTACGGAGGGAGCCCTGTGTCCAAGCATCTATGGCTGCTCGCTTGGTGCCCTTGAGGTGCTTCATCACCCTGTGATAGGTGGTCCAATCCGGCCTCCTCATCATGGGAAAACAATGCTCCAGCTCCTGTATCCGTCTGGCACGCTGTTGCGCCAGCTCCTCGTGCAATTGCTTCTGCAGATAGGGCCACGGATACTCAATGTTGAGCTGAGCAACTGGCAGGATTCCCCTGGGTTCACGCACCCAGTCGTCCAAGGTGCTGGCATCCCAGTTCATCTCCATCAGGTAGGCCTGCAACGCTGCCATTGGTCCAGCAACGACCATCCAGGGATGCGCTGCTGCTTGAAGGCGCTTCCACGGCCAAGCACGGAGCAGCTGGCGCATGGCCTTCATCTGACGCTCGATGGCAGTGTCTCTGGGGTCCTGCAACTTGCTCTGTTGGTCAAAGACAATGTCCGGACTACCTCCTTTCTGCAAACCTCCATGCCGGGCCAATTGTCTCTGCAGCACCCTGACCCTCTGTGGTGCAATGCCCTGAGCTTCAAGCCCGTAGCCAACCTCAACTTGAAGCACATCAACTTGGAATGCCTGCCCCGCCCCTTCAACATTCTCTGTTGCTGGGCGCCAATGCGTCGTCTCCTTCCTCCACTAGAATCCAGGCCTAAGTCCTTCTGGCCAGGTTGAGATTGCGCTTGCATTCAGTGCTTGAAGTGAGAAATCCAATTTTGCTGACAGAAAGTGTCAAACCAGCTGCCTCTAGTCCCTGCTTGAGCTCCTCATATCCAGCCAAAGCTTCGTTGCGCAAAGTGGTGGCATCAGGTCCAGTGAAGTCGACTGAAATGTCATCCACCCACACGTCCACTGAAGCCTTCGGGTGTGCCTGAACAAAGCTTTCAATCACCGGAGCAAGAACAAGTTTGGCAACTAGCGGGGCCATGGGGCATCCGGCCAAAATGCCTTTTCTGCAGTGTACTGGACTGCTTGTAACCTGTTCTGCTTGTAGGAGCCGTGGTCCACTGTACACTTCGTACAGAAAATTCATCTGAACTGCAGGGAAATCCAACGGTTCCCATAGGTCAAGCAGGCTGGCCAATTCAACAGAATCATAGAAGCACGGCAGGTCGATGAGGAGGCTGATGACATGCCTATCAACTGCTCGACTGACCTCGCACTTCAACAATCGCATAAGTGCAACGCGCAATACCTGCGTGCCAGGCATACTGCGCTCCCATGGCAACCTGTGGCCAACACTGCTCTGCCAGTGCTTCAGTTTGTCCCATCGAAGCTTACACCAGGTTCGGTAGAGCACACTTGTCAAAGAGATTGGCCTCTCAAATGTCCGGTTTTTTTGGCAACAGCAACACCAGTGTTGTGCATACCTGGTCAGGCAATCTTCCTGCAAGCTCCCAGGACCGAAACATGTGGCACAATGCAGTGACGCCTTCAATGGGCAAGTTCTTGAGAAGGGCATAACTAACGCCATCTGGGCCACATGCCTTTTGCGGGAACTTCCGGAACTTTTGCATGACCCAGTGCGGGTCCAAGTCTTCCCACTTCCTAGCTTGTTGAATAGCTTCCCATCTCAACCTCTCACTTTCCCCACTGGCCGGAGGCTTGTCAATCACCTCCCACTGTCCATACCACTGTTGCTCACGCATCTTTTGTCGATCTTGGACAGGAATGTTGCGGAAGGGCCGCACATGAACAGCATCAGGCGCCTTGAGGCTTCTATAGATACCACTGTGCCCCCGCAACGAGGCCTGGGCCAACCACACCTGAAACTCCTTGGACTGCTGTTCCAGAGCAAGTTTTTTGGCAAAATCCCGGTTGGCTTCAGCACCTTTGATCAGCAAGGTAAGGGGCCAGTTCACACCGCTCACCAGATCTTCCAATGCTGCTACAAATGCCTCTTTGCCATGCACTTCTTGCCACCGCTTGTCCAGATCTTGTGCCTTGGTTTTGAGATGAACCAAAGAGGTGGAGGAAACCCTTCCTCGACTTGCCACATGGGAAAGGATGGAGCAGAATTGTCCCCAATAGGCCAGATCGCCCTTTCTCCACGGCGTGAGGGGCTTGGTGGTGGGCAAAGGCTTCAACTCCAACGCAAGATACCAGCCACGTCCTTGTCTGGGCCCACTCAAGTTTTGGAGGACGTACTGTTCAGCCTGATGACACCACTCTGCACATTGCTGCTCTTTAGGCCCAGCCGGTCTTCCAAGCCAGAAAACCTTGGGGGAGGCTGCAAACTCATCCCATGACCTGCCAGCTTCTTCCAACTTTGGCACTGCTGCATATTGAATGAGTTGTGGCAGAATAAGCCGGGGCGCCGCTTTGTTGGCTGTAAGTACAAGGCCCGCATGAGGTTTCCAAGGCACCTCCCACGTCAGCTTGAGATCTAAGAAGGGTGCCACATTGCTGCTAGCAAGGACGTAGTCAATCTCTGACCCAGTGATCAAGGTGGCCTGCCCTGGACTCACAACTTCAGCTTTGAGGACATTGAGCAAATGATGTCGTTGCCATTGCTCCGGCGGGACTTGAAAATCCCCAATGACAATCCAGGGCACTGCTAGTTCCCGAAGAAAAGCCGCCAACTCTCCAAGGATTGTAGCATTTGCATGGGAGTTCAGGTCTTCCCCACACTTCAAATAGATTGACACCAGAACAATCTCCCATCTCTGCCGTTGCAACAGGTTGGCAAGCAAACCATTGCCTTCCAGGTCAAAAATGATGAAGCCTGTAGGCCGATTGGCCTTCCTTCTCCACTGGTACCACCGCGACCCGTCTCATATGCAGGCATGAGTTCTGGTTGCCACCGGCTCCTGCATAGGGCAGCTTTGGCTTGTTCCATCTTCAGCCGCTGGAGATGAGTCTCCACCAGGACAACCGTCTGATGTTCTTGTTGGAGCAGCCATTCTTGTGCTTGATTGTTCCATTGTGTGATATTGCTATAGAAAACTTCAACAACACCTTCACAATTGAGTCTGGGCCGTTTTGGTGGTGGCTCAAAGTTCCCAATCGTCCGAGTCCAGAAAGGTGAATGCTCAGCTCTGGAGGCCCATATCATCACTGCTCCCTTCTCAAACACCTCCGGAATGGCTGTCTGGGCTTGTGGACACTGGCCATCATCAACTGTCCATAGCGCATCCCCTTCAACCAGCATGGTGACATAATGCCCAGATCGGAGATCTTCTCCTTGATGTGCTATGACGCCTCGCAGGACAAAGGTTCCTTGCCCAGCATGCCCTGTTGACGTCCTCTGTGCACACTTGAAGGAGGAGGGAATCTGTAACTTGTGATGGTGCTTGACCCAGGATTACACAGGTGATACCGCCCAATGTGGAAAACAATATGGTCCACCTAGACATTGACCATTGGCCTCATTTGCCCACTCACTCAGGCTTTCCCCATCACCGGCTTCAACTGGCATCCTGACAAAGAGCGGAAGGGTCTCAAAGTCGTGATTGCGGCCTCCAAATTGTGAGTGCCACGTCCCTTGCATGCCCGTTTGGCCCCACAACTCCCACAGAAGCACAAGAAATTCCGAAGCATCATGTTGTGCCTGGTTGAAGTTCTGAGGCCCAAAAGATGTCAGGAATATCATCCTGTTGCAGCAGTTGAAGGCATAAATTTGTCGAGGGCCCCCAGAAGTCTCCAGGTTTGTCATGATGGGCGCCCATCCAGCACCACATACGCAATACCGAATTTGCAAAGCAGCTCATTCGCTGGAGGCATGATCATACTCCGAGTGACAGGCCTCGTCAACTGTATACTACCTTGGAGTGCTAGCCTCATTCGTAGGATGTGTTTCAAGGCCTCCAAGCCCCAGACCCGAGTCTCAACCATTCCATATTCGTGATCATCTCTGCACTTGGCCGGCAAGGCCTGGATGGCCGCCATAGCTTTCTCTTGAAGCACTATGAGCCTATCTTGCAGTAGACCCGGAGTGGTGAGCTCTGCATTCATGGTCTCTTCATCCCCCAAGATGAAGTAGTCATCATTGTCCATTTTGCCTCCACCCAAGAAGGCACACTGCACATGTCCTTGTCGAGACATGTCATGTTCCACAGCAGTCTGCAGAAGGTGATTCGGGGTCCCGCAGTTAGCAAGTCTGGGTTGCCCCAGCTGCTCTGTGCTCTTCAAGGGCAGTGCCCCTATCACCTCCCGACCGCCAGGTTTGTCCTCATTGGACTGTGCATTTGTTTGTCGTCCACTGACCCAAACTCTAGTTTCTTCTGGCATTGCAGAAGAAAGGGCTGGATCAGCTTTCATGGTATGGTCTCCTTGGCGTTCTTCTTCAGGTGCCGCACACGCATGGCTCATGCCCTCCCGCGGCCGGAACAAAATTGAAAAATCTTGGTCAACCCCAATGTCAATGCCATAATTTCCATGGACCTGATCACATGGAAATGGATTATCATGATACTCATCAACATTCGTATACGGCTGCAATCCTTGATAGACAGCACACATCAAGTCTCCTTGACCATCATGCACGTCATCTGCCAAAGATTGAAGCGAGTCATCTGCACAATGCTCATAACCCCAAGCACGGTGAGGTGACAAAGGACAACGCCATGCGTTCAAACATTCCCAAGCGTTTGAAATACCCCAAGTACCCATGCGACTGAGCTCAACTTCACAAGTGTTCCTGCAGGACCCCTTCACTGTAGGGAAACTCACCCCACAATCACCTTCTTTTCCAGCACAGGATGTCCAACTGATGCTACCCACACAACTGGGCTTCTTCAGTCTTGCGTCGCTTGGCCAGGGTTTCGGCCAGGTTCCGCTCCAATTCTTTCTGCTGCTCGGAATTGAAAAGGATGCCTGCCTGTCCAAGAGCTTTCAAAACATGCTCAGTGGCATCCGAGTCCAGCACATGTTCATGGGCCGGTGCAATTGGAACTGCCTCCTCTTTCAATTGCTTGGCATAGGCCGCTGACTGATCGCCCAACTGTTTATGTTCCTTATCAATAGCTTCCTGAACAGTTTTGAATTCATCCAGTAGGACCTTGTACTGCTCTTTTGCCTGATCAACTTTGCGCTGTAAGGACTGTTTCTTGGTTGCCAGCTGTCTCAATTCACCGACTGTAGCCTTGAGTTGCCCTGTAACATCCACATTGGCCGTGGGAGCCGGCTTGATCAAACCCACCACTGCATCCTTGACTTCCTTGGGTAGCGAATCCAAGTGGGCTTTCAAGACCTCCTCCAAAGGCGGCATCTCAGGCTCCGGCGTCAGATCAATTCCAACACCTTTCAAAGCATCCTGAACTTCCACTGGCATAGTTCCCCAGGCTTTCATCAACGTAGTTTCAATGGGATGAGAGCCTTGCTTTGGCTTGTTGCCAAGACCTGGAGGTGGTTCAATTTGTTGCCTCCCTCTGCCACGTGGTTTCCGCATTCTTTTTGTGGGCGATGTGTTCACGTTCCATGGATCTTGCTTCTCTGGCCACGGCGTGCCACACTTATGGCATCCCCACCGTTGAGCATTCACTCGGTCCGCCCAGATCCAGGACGAGCTACATCCACCACATGCAATGTACTGCCTGCGGGATCGCACCTTCACAAAGTCCTGCGGATAGCCATCCCACGTCATCATCCAGGAACAAAGGCTGTCACCTTCTCGGCAGTCTCAATCACGGGCAAAGGCACTGGCACCCTGAGGTAATTAAGGTCAAAGACACCGGCAATGTCAATGACCAGTGCCGTCGTCAAAGGCAGTGACGGCCACCCAGTTTGAGCCACCTAGAACAGAAGGTTCTTGAGCCGAGACTCGAGCCAATGGCTACGGCGATCCCCGTCTCTCTCTCTCTCTCTCTGCGGGTGTGTCGGGATCTCTGAGGTTTTTTCGCTGCGGGCTCTTGGCTTCCTGCGGTAATTCAGTATAGTAAGTTCTTGAAATAACCCAAAGGGGCCATAAAAGGTGAACCAGTACAGTCCTTGTCTGAGGCTGTTTGGTTTTAACGAATCCATGTCTGCGTCTCAGCCGGTCCGTCCAAAGGCTCGGCATGTTTTTTCCGCAGGAACCTGCAAGAATTGCAAGAACTCGAGCATTTCACTGGACCCAGAGCTATCCTTTTCCATCTGTGGCGAACTTCAGCGAGATTTCTGGACGTCGCCGTGGGTTGATCGTTCAAACGTCTGCCCAGCGGCCGCTCAATCGCCTTCAGCCCCCTTAGGCAATGTCGACGCAGCTCCTGGAGTGGCGAGCCGAGGTTGAAGAAACCAGGAACCAGCCTTAAATGACAGGATGTCTTCCCTTCAGCAGGATCTGAAAAATGGCCTGTTCATTCCAAAGTCTTGATACTCCTGCGGTCCTACGTAATAAATGGCGCAAAGGTAGCTGGCTGAACCACTCCTCCTCTGCAGTTTTCTCCTCAGTTGTCCCTTCTGGCACCGCCTGAAGAGCCTTGCACAGCACAAGACCACGGACGGGCCATGTTCAATCAATCAACCAAATTCTTGCATCCTTCTTGTCCAAAGCCGATGGACCCCGTGGAACAATTTCTACCAATCTCCTGGAACGACCTGGACTGAGCTGATTCAGAAACCAAACCAATCAGAGCCTCCTTTCGGCTCTGATAAGTCAAAGAGGTCGGCAGATTTGCACCACACTCTTGAAAGGACCGCACCCCCTGTCCTTCTAGGCCCATTGAGTGGTCCCCTGATGTGTTTCACACAAGCTGTGATGGCTTCAGTGCATATTCTCAGGATGGATCCTGATTATAGGAGTTGTGTTTGGGGGGGCCCAATGCATACTTTAGGAATAGTAAGGCCATCTACAACTAGAGAGAGAAAGAGGCATACATAGTAACTTTATAGAAGGCTTTGGATACAGTAGTTCCTTGGCCGGCACCGCCCAACTCTGGTGCCGAGTTGCCTCCGGCTTCTCCCCACCTCAAGTGATGCACCGAACCGGACCGCCCGAGTTCCTCGAGTCCGCCTGGAGTCCTCGAGCATAAAGCGCCAAACGACCGGACGTGCCGTCCGGCCTTCCTGTCCAAGGCGCCCCGAGAAGTACTGTACTGTCCTTCTCAGTCAACTCCCCATTTCTCTGTAAAAACTTCCCAGTCCTAGACCTGTGGGGAGCTCTTCGTCCAGCATTCTTCCAACAAGGGCCACCACACCGAACATCAATCTGTTCCCCTGACTTGAGGGCGAGCGTCCAGGGGTTGCTTCCGTGTCCTCAGCTCCTTGAGCTGCGCTAGCTGAAGGGGCGAAGCAAAGAGAAACCAACACAGCGAACTTGGTCGAAGGAAAATGGGATCAACAAATTGGTGAAGTGGAAGGCAAGCACACACACAAATGAAGGGGCTGCTAACGAAGAGTACATCAGACCTGCTGAGGTCCGTGGTGCCAGTTCCGCCGGAATCCCCTAAGACCCTAAGACCCCAAGCTATTAATGGGGGACTTCGGCGAACTGTGTCAAAATGTTTCACAAGTCAATTGGGGTACTTTGATGGTCTATGTTAAAGATGTTGGTGTTCTATGCTCCATGTTCTATCTGTTGTCTTGATGATTTGACGAAGTGAGCCTAAAAATCAAAGGCAACAGAAAAGGAGCCAACAGAAAACTAGACTAGAACAACCCAAATCAAATAGAACATGTTCTATCTGTTGTCTTGTCAAAGGCTGAGTTTAGGATACAAAAGGCCAGCGTGACTGATTGAGTGTGTATGTCTGTATGTCTGTCTGTCTGTCTGTCTGTCTGTCTGTCTGTCTGTCTGTCTGCCTGCCTGCCTGCCTGCCTGCCTGCCTGCCTGTCTGTCTGTATGTATGTGTGTGTGTGTGGTAAAGAGTGTTATATATATATGTATAAGTGCGTGTATGCGTGCCCACCTCTCAGCACGCCAGCCCCTTACAGGACAAAAGCTGTGGGGTCTCATCAAGCACGATAATCAAGAAAAGAACCACCCGGAAGATCATACCGTTCACACGATGACCAGGAAAAGATCGTGGAGGTCAAACAAATACCAAGACCTTGGTGGGCCAAAAGCCATCGACCTCTTCAAGCCCCGTCTGCTTCACCAGCTCCATTGGTCCATGTCTGGATCTGCAAGTCAAACATCAAACATGGGACAAGCATGGACAATTGGTGCCAAAAAGCAAAAAGCAGGCCTACTTACTTAGGGGTACCAAAGCATGTTCTGGGTTACCTCTCAAATGTTTGATCGGCACATGTGGGCACCAGGTAGCACGACCGGAAAGGGTGGATGTTGGACACAATAAAAGCATGTATAATCATTTATACAAGTATTTAAGGTAGCTCCAAAGTTCTCCTGGCAGCTCCCAAAAACCAATGACTTCCAAAGCTACTTGGTTTGCTCTTTCTTCGCGTAACGTCTACTTGAGGTTGAACACTTTCTCCAAAAAAGCAGCTCCTTCTCCGGGTTTGCCCTCGACCTCTTCAGCTTGTTTCCTTGGCTGCCCAAACCATCTCATGAAGGATATGCAACGGATGGTCACGGGGTCATCCGGTCATCCGAGTCACTGGGCTAGACCGGCTCACGCCCACAGAATGATTGTGGGAAGACTTAAGTCTTAGGAACAAACTTCCTTAACAAAGCGGCCATTTTGCAACCTTCAAAGGGGAGCCATTTTGGAACCTTCCAAGCTTGAGGCTTGGTTGAGGTCAAGTGAGAGTGTCAGCGTCACAGCCCAACAGATGATTACATGGGGAATGCACTTAGACTACTTGGCGTCTCACATTCTCCTCCAAGTGTAGTAGAAGTTCCCGGTAGGATGTCCCGATCGAAATCGTTTAGCACAAGTATGGTGCCCACTGACAGAAAAGTGACACCCTTTCAAATGCATTGGACCTCGTTTTCAAGTGTTTCAAATCTTAAATTAACAATAAAATCCGGAACCACTCTGGGCGTCCGAAAACAGTGCTGACAGAGCGTCTCACGCTTCTTCAGCTCTTGAGCCGCTCGCACATAGGACTGCACACCCTCCTCCTCTGGCTCCTGCTCAAATACCAAGAGCTTTTGCAAAAGAAAAGCAGCACATCGTGATTCAAACGGTTTCCAACATCGTCTTCCAGAAAAAGGCCCTTCTTCTTGTGATCGAGTTCTTCCGATCCAATTCCAGCTATCGTTCCGTCGCCTAAGGCGAGGTGCCAAAGGCGAGTGTAGCAAGGAGAGGCAGGTGTCATGAGGTCAGCCGTTTTGAGAAAGAAAGGATTCAGAATGCATGGTGAGACCTACATGGGATAAGGTCTGTTGGGCGCGGCAGCTGAGGACGCTTTAAAGCATTGGCTTCAGTTGATCAATGCGAAACTGAATGTACAACCGAATTTCTCTTCCAAAATGGCCAGTGCTTCAGCTAGAGTATATTTCAGTATATATCCTAAATTGAACTCTTAACATCACGGGGTGCATCTTACAGGCCCCACATCCTCTTCCAAATGCGTGTGCCCTTCCATCTCCAACGCAAGGATGCTCTTCTTCCTTAGCTTGTCTGGATTCAATATAAAAGCACCACCTGGCCTGGCTGATTCCCTTTACATTGCATGGGAGTCATACATAGTATATATATAACTAATTGAAAAATACGCATATATATTTATATATATATGTGTGTGTGTAATATGTGTGTATATATATGTTATAACATGATGTATATTGAACATCGCTAGGGTTGCTGCGGGAATGACGATGGAACACATTTCAAGAGGTCATCACGCAAAAAACTGCGAGCATCAAGAAGTCTGCAACTCTGAGGATATATAATAGAAACTGATCAATGATGAGCGAAACCAACAATATCCTGGCTGCTAATGGCTAATGCTAGCAGCTAGCACCTAGGACATCCTAGGACATCCTAGGACGTCGGATTTGTCATCCGGCCGGTGGGATGAGGATCTTTCCCAAGCCGAGTGGCTGCTGGTAGGGATAGAGCTGTCGCAGGGCCAAGACCTCCCACTGGACATCCTCTGCAGCATATTCCTCTTGCAGCCTGGCAACAACTGAAACGGATAAGCCTGACTCTTTGATGCATATAGAGATAGAGAGGTAGGAGAATTAATCGATTTCATCAGGGTAAACACGTTCGTTTGGGGAGTAGAAGCTTTTGGGTGGCAAAAAGCTTCAGAGAAAGGTGGCCAAAACAAACACGTCCCAGAATGCAATGGAACATAACCGTTGCTTTACAATCTTCACACATTGTAGGGAGGTTATGTCCCCCTGACTCAGCACCCCTCCCAAATCTGAGACCTGCAAAATCACTCCGCAGCCATCGGACCCCATTCTTTTCACCTCAAACGAGCACGTCGCAAATTGTTGCACCAACTTCGGAGACCCTACAGGGCCCAACTTCGGATCACAGGATAGGATACCGATACGTGGTGCAGACCGTCCCCAAACCTCCAAATACCCGGGTGGCTCTAGGGTGGCCGTGGGGGGCCGTAGGGGAACCGCTGCCCTTGCATCGGCAAAGCGGACATGGGCGGCTGCGGCTGGCCCGGCTGCATGGGCAGCATGGGGTTTGCCATGAACCTGAGAGATGGTTTGATGGGGAGGAAGCACAGATTTCTCTAGGCTGTTGGCCCTAAACCAGTCTATTGTTCCATTGAGTTTGATAATTGCTGATGGTAAATGTGTTATGCATACACGTATACAATACATGATGCACACCCAAGATATATCAAGATATTATATATACGAATCTTAAAGTCCGCCAGGTCCCGCACGTTCCCTGATTATCCTCATCCTAAGATACACCTCCCAAAGACGCCCGACGGAGGAGACATCGGCATGCATAGTAGGCACACCTTCCAAAGATGGCCCGGGAATTACCAAAAATCCGTTGGCGTTCTGGTGCAAGGCAACCTCCAGCCACAAGCGAATCGCCCCCCAAGATCTCCAACCATGGGTGTACAGCCAAATGTGAGAACTCTCATGTACCACTGGCATCCCACTGGCAAAAAAAGCTGGACCGTAAACAATTCAAAGCAAATGCAAACAGAAAAACATGGTTTCGATATGTCGCCAGTATGAAGGCATGTATATAGTTTTTGTTGATATCTGAAACATATATATATATATATTTATATGTATGTTTGCTTAGAAAGGGGCCAATTGCTTGAGACGACTGCTCCCCATCCCTTGAGCCCTTCACCCTGCCCCTTGAGTCACCACGGCACTGACACGGCCCACGCGTGGGTGAGCTTCCCCGGGTCGGCCGCACCGGCCCCAGCGGGCTGACGCTGGCGCGCGCGGTCGCGGCGACGGCGTGGTCGCGCTCCGGCGAGCTGGTGCGGACGAGGCCCTCGCCGGACCTCGGGCAGGGCACCCAAGCACCACCAAAGGGGGATGCGAAGTAGGAAATGGATTGGGAAACACGATGAGGGTCAGGGACCAAAAACAAGAGTCAAGCGAGGGTGGTTCCCATTCTACACAGGGCCCCAGATCGAAGGGGCCCACGGCGGCTGTAAGCGAGGGAAAGGTCCTAAGGTAGCAAAATGAAAAATTATGTTGCTGCTGAGGGCCTTTCCTGGAAGGGTGAATCAGCATTAATTTGTAATAGACAATAAGTGATGATGAACAGGAAGGACAAAAAGTAACAGAACAATCATAAGGCTGTAACCTCCATAGTGATGCTGTTGATTTTTCTGGTATCACTAACTAGTTAGGCCCAAGTTTGTAACTTCATCAAATCTGCAGGCCCCCAGAGAGCATCAAAAAGGCATGTACAACTAACTCAAGATCCCTCAAGTTAAAGCAAGGGCGTGCATTCACTCACCATGCATCCCAACAATCATAATATATGGGAAGAGCATGAAAGACTTAAAAGAAACAATGGCACTTTTGATGGTTGACCTGACCACGGCCAATAATTATGTGTTCCTCTCGCTTCACTCCAAGCTGCGCATGACGGAAGGGGGCGCCTGGTGGCAGCAGCCCCGACCCCGCCAGTGCTGGCACTGGAGCTGGAGCTGCGGTTGGCGCGTGGACCGCTGCTGCTGTGGGCGCATGCGCCGCATGCGCCGTGGGCGCGGGCCCGGTTGGAGCATGTCCCGTGCTGAAAAGCTCGGGGGGGACCAGGATTTGGTCGGCGGGGGCCCAGGTGGGCAAGGTTTGAATTGAGCTCCTGGTGTCACCTGGGCGGCGGCAAAGAGCCATAGTAAATAGATTTTAGCATTTCTCAGAAACTTCTCACACCGTTCCTCTTCCCTCTTGCCTAAGCTGTCCCATTGGCAGCTAGCTCCTTGTCTTCATATTCAGCTTGTGCTTGTTTATGCATCAAAGGATTTACTGTACGCCATCCCATTTTGTTTATTGGATGAGTCGCAAAGAAAAGTGCGTAAAGCAATTTACAAATCAAACAATTGATAAGCAATTAGAAGTGAATCTACACTCATGCCCTTCCCCCCTACACCAGCTCCATGGCTTGGTACCCATATTGAAAAATGGCAATCATTTCCTTTCAAGGCCTCGAAACTCAGGGTGTTGGGGTTTGGGGTGTCTCCGTCCCCTCTATCCCGAAAGTTCAACTGGCGCACCTGCATTGCCCAACATCTCTTCCACCAGCTCCGCATTCTTCTCGCGCAGGGTCAAGTTCCGCTCCTTGGCCCCAGTTCAGCCCCATCGGACGATCTGCCAAGTCTGCCAAGTGGTGAAGTCCGAAAACCATCCAGGTCGAACCCCAAAGAGGTCGACATCTGCAAGAGCCGTGTGCCCACACAGCGGAAGGGATCTCCTATCCTTGGGCCTTTTGGACCTATGAGCCTTACTAAAAATGGCCACACTGGGGCAGCTTCCTCTCAACGAAGTACCTGAAGCGAACTTCGGCAGGTCATCCGAAAAGGCATCCCCAGGTTGCCCGGATAATGGTCATCCAAATCGGAAGAACATGTTCTTTGGCGAACCAGTTGACACAGTTTACACTCTGGACCATGGCAGTGGATGGCATGGCCCCGAAAGGACGTTCCCAATGCCAAGCTCAAGGTGGTGCCATCCACTTCCATGACAGGGAGAATGGTTTTGAGAGTCGTTGTCCAGCCTGCCAAGTTTTGATTGAAAAGTGTGGCTGCCGGGCGCCCCGGCACGTCCGTTAAACCTTTCTTCAGATCTTCCGCTCAATTTGTCAAACCAGCCACGAAACAAGGCTACAAAAGTGGAACATACTTCTGTCTGCTCATTCGGCATCAAGGTGCTTGTTTACAAGGACTGCATAGACCCCCAGTTTCTATCATGTCACCTGTCGCCAGGTAGAAGGTAAGGACATCGGGGTCTGATGAACCATCTGCAGGTGATTGGGCTGACAATGGCTGACATGTTTTAAGAGAAACTCCGCATATTGCCACATTCACTATAGCCGCATACCAGCTATCCAGAAGCAAGGTGGTCACGCAAATGTCTTCCAACAATACCGAGCTCCCCCAGCTCCTGCACTCCGCAGCGAAGATCTGTCACCGGATTTGGGGGGGCACCCGTCGGGCAACTGCAGAAACGCCCGGGCCGCCTCGCTATGCCTTGCCAGGGCTCTCGGAGCTCCTGGATCGCTTGCAGGGCCTGCAGGGCCGCTGACTGAACACCCTACAGCGTCACCGCTCGTTAATACGCTGCTTTTCGGTCACGGCCCCTCGGCGGTGAATGGAGCTCTTACGTTCTGAACAACTATGCACCGGCAGTTTCAGGCCACGTTACTTGCCTCAGAACATACAAACAGTTAACCTGGTGTTGACCGAAACCATCCTGTCTATACACTCAGTTGTTTCCCTCAAACTCCACCTCCGAAAAACCTGGTGAATGAATCTGCCAGTCTGCCAAAGCTGAGTGAGGCTCTCCAAGTTTCAGGGAAAATCGAGCAGTGACAAATTGACTCCAACATCCATCACAGCCGTCCAAGCCTGCTGGTAGCCTTCCTGCGAAACCATGCCCTCTCGAAGCTGCTGCTGCCTCGGCCCAAATGTTCGGGTTCCTCATACTAAGCCAGTGGTGAACTCGAGTTAAAGTTTGTTTGCCTGGGGCAGGTTTTGCTTCTCCAAACTAATTGTTACAGTGTTACAGTGCTACATCTTATTTACACCTGCTCTCTCTTGTGGCGTCAATGCATAGGTGCCGGCAAGTGTTTCAAAATACGATGGTCGGATGGTTTGGATTGCAACGGCCTATCTGCACCACCAGGAGAAACTCCGTATAGTTACTGTAATTACATCTATATAAATACACAATATATGTATATATATTGTATATACAATATAAATTCACACATATTCACACGAACTTCTTGACCTCCGCAACATCAAGGGAGCGCTAAAATCAGCTGAAGAAGCAAGGTCTGTCATTGCCTCTGGTGTCCAGTGTCCCTTTATCTTGACATCTCTATGCTCAAATGGCCTCCCTCTTCTATTCGGAGACCTCGGACACCCAACCCATCTTCGTCCCAGTGGCAGCTGCTCGATGGGCAGATCCGACCCGCTGCGCGCGCCCGCGGAGTTGGGAATGGAGGCGCTGTCGGAGTGGGCCTCGTCGCCGGGCAAGGGATTGCTCACCGTCTCGCTCACGCGGTGCACCAGGTGACCTGAGCGACCCGAAAGAAGGGGCGATTTTAAGGATCGTGCGTCAAAGCAGAAGGGGCGGGAGGCCAGGGGGAGAATGTGGCAGTTTGGACCGTGTTTGGTGGGTGTTTGTTTTGCGTCTGTTCTTTTTACATGTGCGGGCGGTTCCAAGACATCCGAGACGCCAGACGGGGAGACACGACGGTGGCTGTGTTCGACACGGAACATGTCCGGTGTGTGTTGTTCACTTCACGGTCAGGTCCTGCCAATCACTACTGAAATGTACAGTAATCAACATGAACCAACTGGTCAATTCCATTTCAGTAGCTTGGTCATCGATGGCAATGTGGCAAATTCTTGCTTGACCAGGCATTCTGCATTCGAGGCTGACACTGATTCAAACATGGCGCCAAATCCTGACGCCTCACATCACCGGAAACACGGGATGGCGACC